CTGGATACAAGATTCTATTATATGACTATATCAAGTTTTTCTATCGATTCCATTATTGATGGACATTTGGGTTATTTTTAGACTTTGCTATTTCAAACATTATGGCTATAAATATGTGTGAAAAAGCATATGTGTGGGAAAAGTCTCCAGAATGTTTACTTAATAGTGTAATTGCTGAACTTGTTCCAGTGTTACTCAGTACTGCCAGCCAGTTTTCAAAACATTTGAACGGGTTTACACTGCTACAAACAAGGGATGAGAATTTCAGTCTTGCCATTATTTTGTAATTTTAGCCAATTTAGTTGGGTGTAAGATGGTATTTTATTGATATTTTAATTTGTGTTTTCCTAGTTTCCAGGGAGATTAACATCTTTTGTATTTCTGGGCCATTTATATTTCTTTTTTGAAATTCCTATTCATTTCTTTTGCCCAATTTTTCTCTTGCATTGGCTTTTTTATTGGTATATTCTGGATACTAACCTTTGGTTGTTTGTATGTGTGCCAATATTTTGTCCTTTCACTCACTTTCTTAGTCCTTTGATGAACAAAGCTTAAATTATGTATTTCCTTTTTTGAGATCTTGATAAAGAATTCCTTCTCTTTCCCAAGATTATAATGATGAAGATGTAGCCATTTTGCAGTTCATTTCCATCCTCCTGAAGTTTTTTTTCTTTTGGGGGTAAGGGAGTATGCTGTGTATTGGTCTAATTTCATTTTTTTCCCTAATGAATACCTTGTTATCCATTTAGTGAAAACTCTACCCTTCCCTCACTCATCTGCAGTACCCACCTCTGCCATGTTTTATTTTTTTATCTTTTTTATTTTTTTTTAAAGATTTGTTTATTTATACAAGCACTGGGTACAGTCAGAGGCATGGGAGGGTGAGAGAATTCACCAGAGCGGAGAGTAGAACAGACAGAGTGACGAAGTACACTGCTGAGGGGAGCAGCGGGCGGCAGGAGAGGTCTGCAAGCCTTGTGGGACCCTCGCCCAGCGGCTGGGGATTGAACCGGCGCTGCAGAGTCTGCGGGCAGCTTCGCAACCCAGCGCTCAACCGCTGTGCCACCGGGGAGGCCCATCTGCCATGTTTTAAATGTCTGTTTCCAGATTCTGTTGTGGTCTTTTTGTTTATCCCTGAACGAATACCATATTATCCTAATTATTATTGCTCTATATTAAGTGTTGAAGTCTTGATAGTGAAAACCCCACCACTTTGGTCTTTTTAAAGAGTATCTTGGCTCTTTGACCTATTTACATTTTGGATTCAGCCTGTCGCATACACATTTTCCACCCCTACTCTGAGATAGAGAATGAAATAATAAGAGAAAGAAAATAACTCATTGAAGTTTTTATATGAAATTCCTTTGAATCCATAGATCAGTTTGGGAAGAATTTATATCTTTATAATGTTGAGTTTTTAAATAAATGAGCATTTATTTATGTTGTTTTTATTATTTTTAAATAATTTTAAAAAAATTTTTTACTTATATAGGCCTTGTTATATTTTGATAGATTCAGTGTCAGGACTTTTTTTTAGTCATATTGCATTTTGTAAGATTCATGCGTACATCAAGAATCAACATTTTGTAATGCAATGTTAATGTGTGTGTATTCCCCTCCCCTCAAAAAAAAAAAAAAGGTGTGTAAGATTGGAATGATTTATTCCTTGAATTTTTAGAAATAAGAAGAGTGAAATTAACCAGACTTTCTATTGTCTTTTGCAGAAAATGTTTACTTAGCTACTAATTTGGTTACTTTAAATGCTGTGGGACTGTTTGGATTTTCTGTTTCTTTTTGAGTCAGTCTGGATCACTTATTTTTTCTAGAGAGTTAACCATTTCTAAGTTTTAATTTTATCATCATGAATTCTATTGGTTCATGATAACTTCTTTTTAGTATCTGCAGTTTTTTTTAATGTGCTCTTTGTTATTCTTAAATTGTTTGTAACTTCTCTTTTTTGTTCTCCATTACCAGAAATTTATAATTTATGTAATTCTTTGGAAAAAGCCAAGTTGCTGTTTTTATTATGTGGTTTTTGTTTTTTTTTTTTTTCCTGTTTCATGAAATTTTGTTTTGTTTGCCTCTATTCTTTTTGGGTTTTTTCGTTAGTGCTCTGACCATTTTTTCTGTACCGCTTGACAGTACTAATCTACCCCCTGTAGCTTTTGCTCCCTGACTCCTGAGACACACTAGTCTTGAGACTTTTTTCTACTTTTCTAATTTCTTCCCTCTGACTCTCTTTGTCTTCACATCTCTTATTGTAGATACTCTCTTATCGCCAACCTTCCTTTCTCTGTTTCTGTTCTAAATTGATATATACATTTACTCTCTTAATTTCAGCCCTCACTGCTCTGTGACTAGACAGAATCAAGGAAACTATTCCATGTCTTGTTCTTTCCACTTAACTTGTCTCGTCTTGAGCAATATATGACCTCTGAAGCTCACCTCAGGAATACTTTCTTAATATTATAACCTTATAGAATCTTTAACTCTGGCCTCTGCCGTTTCTAAATGCCGTTTCTGGACCACTTTTCTTAGTTGTTTTGTGAGGGTTTCTCAAGTTCTACATGTCTTGTATGAATCTTACATAATTTACTTTCTCTCCCAACCTATTAATTCCCTCATTTTCTCATTTGGATGTTTTATTTTCCCAAGCGCACGAAACCACATGTTATTTGGTTTGACTTCCCAACATCCTTGTCTCCCGTTACTGTCTTTATACTCAAGTCTGATTATAATGTGTGTGTATCTGTTCCCCTCTCCTTTCCTTTTAGCCCAGATTATGCCTTTGTCTTTTACAAGAATGGTTTCTATCTATTCCTACTTTCCTTCACTGCCCAGTGTAGCCTCACCACCTTACTAAAAACCATACCTACTTTTGATTCCTAAATCTGTTTATCTAAGTTGTTCTCTAAGAATATTATTTTTTACCCTACTAGTTTTAGACAAAATACTTTTATACCATATCCCTCCTCTACCCCCAACCTGGGCAGCACCAGAGCACTTAAATATCTATAGACTCTTATATTATACTTTGTGACAGGGATACCAGAAAGCAATCAGTCTTGTGTTATGTAGTAATTTATGATTTACAAGGGATCATTTTTATGGGAACTTGAAAGTGGAACCAATGGGTAGAATGTTTATGGTCTCCATGAGAGTGAAATATTTGATTCTAAAAGACTTTGTAATTGGTGATGTGTTTAATCACTAAGTGCTTCTCTGGTTTTCAAAATCTTGTCTTCTCTTGGCTTTGTCAATTTAATATATCATGAGCGTATTTCTCTAATGCACAATCATGTACAGTGGTTCACAGAAATGATATAGAGATATAGCTAAAACAAAAAGTGCAATTTTAAACTCTATGAAAGTGACCCTAATTACTTTAAATTTTATTTCATACTAGTTTTGCATTACTTTACACAGTGTGTTCTCTTTTAATTTCATTAACTGTATATGTCTAGGTAGTTCTGTAGTTTCCTATTCATGGGAAAATTAGGGGGAAAATACCATAAGAATAATTACCATGAGGGCCTCCCCTGTGGCGCAGCGGTTAAGCGCTGGGTTCGAAGCTGTGCTTCCTCTGCAGCGCTGGTTCGATCCCTGGCTGCTCCCCGGCCACTGGAGGAGGGTCCCGCATGGTGCACAGACCTCTCCTGCCGCCCGCTGCTCCCCTCAGCAGTGTACTTAGGTCCTTCTGCCTGTTCTGCTCCCCGCTCTGGCTCTGGTGGATTCTCTCACCCTCCCGCGCTTCTGACTGTACCCAGTGGTTGTATGTATGTATGAATGAATGAATGAATGAATGAATGAATGAATGAATGAATGAATAAATAAATAAATAAATAAATAATTTTTTTTTAAAAGAATAATTGCCATGAGATTATTAAAGAGGTCAAATATGCATATATTCCTTTTTTTATTACCTCAAGGAAACCTTAAATAGCTATTTTGGATCATGCTACCTACCTAATTATTCTTATTAAAATGATATGCTTGCTAGAAATTGGTTAGGATATATCACAGCAGAAGCTAGTACCCAAGGGTACTGTTTTTAAGGTTGTACCTCATATTGTCCTAACTGGTCTGCTCTGTGTATGAGAGGCTGGAGGAGAATATGTGATATTCAAATAGTAGGAAATGGAAGTGTAAACCATATTCAAGTATCTCAATGGTTCTTGCTGATTCCTATAGTCTGTTATATTTTATTCAGCCAGAAATGTTCTGGTTATTTCTAAGTAATAGCTGGAACAGTAATTTGAAAATAATGTATTATATCCCTTAGAAAATATTTCTGAGTATTAAAGTAGTCTGTCTTTCCATAAATTAGTTCTAGTCCAACATCAAATTGTAGCACAATTGGCAAAAAAGCATTAGCATAACATTTAGAAAATTATAGTTCTAGCAGAGCCCTTACCTATTAGGTATATGCCACAATCTATACTTTGCGATCGAAGAATTTAGTAAAAGTATTTTTTTCTGTCATATAAAGGGGTTGCTTTTGATGTCAGACTGTCATTCATTAAAGCTCTTAAAAGTCAGTCTGTCTTGCTCTTGGCAAAGTTACCAGTGAATTTCTTCTATCCAAGCCAAATATTCAGAAGGGTGAAACGAGGAGAGCCTGGTGCCTTGTCTGTCACTCTGCACAACATGATAACTGTCTCTTACCACCCTGTGCAGGGCATGCTTGTTCCCATGCTAGGTACATAGGTACAGTCACTGCATTCACTTCTAAAGTTTCTATCATATGATTATAATTCATTATTTTATTTTTTGTTTTATTTCTTATTTATTTTCTGTGTTTGCTTACTTGTCTTGCACTTGTGCCTTTAGAAAAGAAATTATTTAACTGTATTTCCTATTTCTTTCAAATCTTCCTGGGAGGTCTTTTAGAAAAATGCTGATGAAATAGGTGCCTGATAAATGTTGGTAACTGAAGTCTAGTGCTTTATTTTAATTGAATTTATTGTTTTAATGGCTGTATTACTTTACTTGAATTCTAGGCACACAAACCAATGGTCTGGACTTTCAAAAGCAGCCCGTTCCTGTTGGAGGAGCAATCTCAACAGCCCAGGCCCAGGCTTTCCTTGGACATCTCCATCAGGTACGGTGTTCTGCGCAAGCGCAAGTGAGAGTAAAAACGAAGACATGGCTGTTTGGGGCTGGGGAAAATATTTTAGTATATGAGATGAGATTCTTAAGTTGATTAAAGCCTCATGCTAATTGTTTCTGTTTGTGTCATTCTAAATGATTGGTGTGGAATCCTATGGCTCAGTTGACTTTAAAACTGTTGACCCCACAGCTTTGTGAAAAAGAAAATTTCTTGTTTTGAACAGTGTACGTGTAAAACTGGTTATTGATATCTGAGTGTGAGTCTGTGATGGTTCACTGAAGGGAGTAAATTACAGACATCCAACATGATGTAGCCGCCATTGCCTACGACCTGCTGTGTGAGACTCGGGGCTCAGAACTTATAGCCTTCCTTTAAAGAAGTTCAAACCATTTTGATTTGGGTAGCTTTTCAGAAACTTTATTTGACAGTGAATCCCTTGTTTGGGGAATTTTTGAGTTTTCTAAAGTGTAGGACTCTCCTTTATAAATAAAGGCCAGCATCAATATTAGCTCTGAACTCTACCCTAACCCTAACCCCATTCTGATACTTTCTTTTCATTTTAGGAAACCTTAATGCTATAGTTCCTATCCAAAATGGAACTCATCTTTCTGCTAATGGCATCACTGTTTTTTGTAGTCTTCTAGATTTGAACACTGGGATAGTTCATGATTTTTTTTCTTTATCTGTGCCCAGTCAGTTGCCAGGATCCTTACGTAGTACCTTATAAGGCCTTTCACTAGAATGCGGCTCATTCTAGTTCAGGCTTCCATTTGTTCTACCCTTGTTTACAATCTTTTTCTCTATATTTAATTTTTCTCTGCTTTCAGGAAGTTTACATTTTTGAAGAATGAAAACCCAGTTATTTTGTACAGTGTTGCTCAAATTGGGTTTGATGTTTCCTGATGACCACTGTGTTCTTACATCCAACCAGAAGGGATAGATGTCATTATTGGTGATTTTAACTGCAATCACTTCCAGGTTTCCCCAGGAAAAGTTTATTTTACCTTGATAATTAACAGGTATCTATGGCAAGATAATGGGAAATGTAAATATTCTGTTACTCTTCAAATTTCACCTATTAGTTAAAGCATTCATCCATTCCTGATGCTTACCTGAGTCAGTTATCATTGTGGTTGCCAAATGATGACCCTTATTTTAATATCACCATGGTTTGAACTTTCTAAATATGTGAAATGTGTGTGTGACAGACTTTCATTTGTGATTTATAGGTCAGATTCTTTATTTTAGCCAAAAGTTATGAATACATGGAACTTTAGAAATAGAATGAGTATATAATTCTGATCATTTATGTTAAAAAATGTACATAAGTAGATTATTTTCCCGTTTCTTGAGGACAATGTGGAAGGTGAATTAAGTTTTTAGAGTTTAAGTGAATACAAATGAATGTTACATAGGGAATCCCTAATACAAGTGTAGCATGCCTGATGATGCTAATTTAGTATGGGAAAATAGCTTCAGAAATGTTAACAGCATGTTCTCAAGGGAGGTGAAGGGACTGTAAGCTTGTTTATAAAGTTTTAACCCCCTAAGAGAAACCTCTTTGTATTTTCAGTTCTAATTCAATGACATAAACCTAGTAGTTTCTTCAAATACTTGCGGATGCTAACTTCTTAATGACAACCGTCGAACATGGTAGACTCTAAATTGTCCTGACTGCTTTATTTATAGGTCCAGCTCGCTGGAACAAGTTTACAGGCTGCTGCTCAGTCTTTAAATGTACAGGTAAGCTGGGATATGGGGCTATGGATTAGTTTTTCTATTTAATTTTTTTTGTTTTTCTAACTTTCTGTAGTGGACATGTGATAATTTTAAAGTAGGAAATAGAAATATTATTACTGATTCTCATAAGGAGCCAAATGATTATCATTGACAATAAGAAAATCAATTTAAATCATGCTACTGTGAATGACCAACAGTAATCAAGACAAGTCTACTTTCAAAGATTTAGGTTAAGTTCAGTAAAAAATGTTTCTGAGTTAGGTATGTAGCTATATCACATACCTAAACACAAAGCCAATCATATCTCAAATCCCATTTTGTTCCCTAATGTCTTTATTTATCATTTTTCATGTCTTAAGAGAAATATAACATTGAGGAAAGAGCACTAGACTAAGACAGGTCTAAGGCTTGAATTCTCATTCTGCCACAACTAGCTATGTGACTTTTGCCACATCACTTAATCTCCTGGGACTCATTTTTTTCCTATCTGTATTTAAGTGGGGGAGTATAGAGGATTGCCAGGGTTCCTCTCTGCTCAAAGGTGTTATGATTCTGAGGATTGTGACATTGATGGTCTTCATACAGTAAAAAATTTGAAACAAAAATCAGGCTACTTTGCGTCTATGAACCTTATGGCAAAACATACAAAGTTCAAGTATTATGCATTACTCCATAATATTTCAATCCACCTACTGCTTCTTTTCATTATAGTGTTTAGATGACTAACAGTCAAGAGGGAAAACAGTATTCTGGAAGATTGATTTCAGTGTTGCTAATGACTAGAGACCTTGGGTTGAGCATCCCATGAAACCCAGTGGAATATGGACCTAATAACACATGGAAATAAGAAGAGAAAGAAAAGGAGATAATGTGACCTTCCTTTCGGAGGGAGAGGAGGCGGAAAATTGCCTTGGTTGCCATGGTAAACTTTCATCCCTTAGAGAGATGTTGGCAAACAGGCTGTATCTCCAGTGCAGAATGTTTACAGTCCTGCTCTGTAATTATCTCTCAATGACTGGCAGAATTAATCAGAGCCTTTATGTTAATTAGCCTTGCTGCAGTCCCCAAAACAGGTGGTGGGAAATATGCAAATCTATGCAGAATTTTAATGTTCTGCATAACCAGTTTTAATTACCATGAAATTTTCTCAGTGCCCCTTTCAGGAGCATATTCTCTTTACCTCTTGACTGCACCATTTTTCCTCTAAGTCTATATGTTGCTTAATGGGAGATGTTAAATTTACAGTTCTTTAAACTATTACATCAAAGGTTCTGTTGTTCAGTAATCAATCTCTGAAATGGTACATAGAGAAGTTTCAGACTGACTACCAATTGCTTATCAGAATGTTGGGATGGAGGAGCTAATGTAGAGATGGATTGAAAATATGCCCTTTCCTTACTCCTTTTTTCCAGAGTTGAAGATTTGGTTTTGTGAAAAACTGTTGGCTTGTGGAGGACCAGAAAATTTTTTTCTTTTTAAAAACTATAATTGCAGCTTTGCTGGCATTGGACCAAAAGCTGAAAACTAATATGTAAAACTAGGAGAATACAAAGATTTATCAGAAAGAAAAAAAGTAAAATCAGGAAACCGTTAATAAGTCCTGTATTTTAAATAATTCTTAAGGAGAATTATTAAATAAACTTCTTTTAATTAACTATTTGAAATATCTTATTCTCCCTACCCCCCAGTCTAAATCAAATGAAGAATCGGGGGATTCACAGCAGCCAAGCCAGCCTTCCCAGCAGCCTTCTGTGCAGGCAGCCATCCCCCAGACCCAGCTTATGCTGGCTGGAGGACAGATAACTGGGGTAAGTTTTCACTGGGGGAATTGTAATATACTTTCTCTGTGTCAGAACTGTCATTGGCCAATATCTGGTTAGAACTGTTTAGAATAGGAGACAGTAACTTGGCTATGCCTGGCACTATTACGTCTTTAAGGAACCTCCTACACCATAAGCAGCTCTGAAAAAGGAATTATATCTTCGTCATAGGTTTTCGGGGTATTTTTTTATTACCATTGCAGATAAACTAAAGATTTCTCTAAATCCACATTTTAATTGTTGCTTCATCTTTCATGGAGTCATTATCTCCATATGGTGGAGACCACTATACTGAAGAAATTGTAAGTTGTCAGTTTAGAGTTATGACATCAATGCAGAATAGAAGTAAAGAATGGATTAAAACCTACAAAATAAAAAAAAAATTATTAAGTTGCTGTGTAGTATTCTCTGATGGTTTTGTTTCTTGGTTCTGTAATTTATTGTATGGGCTCATTACTTCATCTCCCTGTGCCTCAGTTTTCCTTCAGTTAAATGGAGATGTTAATAATACTATCTCACAATATCATTATAGCAATTAGGAGTAATAACATGTATAGCTCATAGAACAGTGCTAGGCACATAATATTCAATAAATGTCATTTATTTTTATTGGTAATAACCTATTTGAGTATGTTGTGTTAGTCTTTTACTTTCCAGTTGTCTCTATTTAAAGACAACTATTCAAAATGTTTTTCTGCTGTTGAAAATTTGTCTATTAACTCTTCTTTTTGTTGATGGGGGTAACTGGGGGCAGTTGTAAGGAAGAGTTACTTGTTATTATTCAATTCATATCATATTAACCGACAAAAATTTTTATTTCATTTCTGTTTTGACAGTGGGAGACTCTTAAGAATTGTTGCAAAATTGCTTACAAAATCCCATCAGAGATTAGTATTAGTTTTAGTATTAGTTTATGTGTTGTATAAAATATTTATAAATACATATCTTAAGGGTATTACACTTTTGACTGGTTTGATTTTGATTCTTATGTCTCTAACGCACAAATTGTATTGGGCCCTTTATAAAGGAGGGTTGTGCCACTGACTGTACATGTACTTCAGAATATTACTGATTCCTTCTTTGATCAGAGCATGTCACCAAAAGGAAGGAAGAAAATAGTTACTACTTTGGTGTGTGTTCGAAATAAGTTGCAGTATGAAGACAAATTTAAATGCTCTAAATATATTTCCTGTCTTAATCTTTGGATTTTGTTTTTGGTAACTAGTCTGCAATAGTAAGAGACATTTGGGATTCCAGGTTCATGTGGTTGGATCTTCTATTAAACCTGGGCATTAGGATTCATTTGCATGTAAAGTGGGTGCCTGTCACCACCTGTTTCATGGAGATAATGTGTTGGAAAAGGGATGTAAAGTTGCAGAGACCCAAGGCTCTTAATAACAGAAAAGATTGCGCTGGGGAGGGGGCTATAGGGAGACTTGGAAAAGAAACAAATGAAGCTCATATTCTTTACTCATATCTTAGGACATAATGGAAATGATGGAATATGGCAGGAATTCATGCTAATGGGAAGCAGCTGGGCCTTATCAGTTCTTTCTGTGGTCAGATCCAGCATCCTTGTTCCTCATTCATCTGAATATAATCACTTGCTGTTCTGTTGGGTGTAAATTTCTTTTCATATCCTGTCAGCATTGATTCTTTTTTTCTTGCTTACTAGTTAATTACTTTTTTGCCTGAACCCTAGAGCCCTGAGCAAGCTTGAATGATTATTTAAGGCCAGAATGAGGGCTACCATTTTAATTCAGATAGTCTGCTAATGGTCATTAGCATGACCACTAATGAAGGTTGTCGTGCTAACCTTGTGAAGTCAGTAGTTAAGGTCTAATACCATTTTGGGTTACCAACTTCAAAGGTCTAGGCTTGCACTAGGAGCTCTTCTCCTTCAACCCTGTCTGATTGTCCTAATTTTGTTTAGCTGACTTTGACGCCAGCCCAGCAGCAGTTGCTACTACAGCAGGCTCAGGCACAGGCACAGCTACTGGCTGCCGCTGTGCAACAGCATTCTGCCAGCCAACAGCACAGTGCTGCTGGGGCTACCATCTCAGCCTCCGCCGCCACGCCCATGACGCAAATCCCCCTGTCTCAGCCCATACAGATTGCACAGGTGAGTGACCACCTCAAAGGATGGGAGGTAGATTTTCTTTACGGTAAGGTCACTTTCTGATTATTTGTGTTGGCCAGTAGGCCCTGGGAGCTTTGGGTCAGTGAAATGAATGTTAACCTTCCTGACCACTGAACTAGAAATAATACATTTGTTTGCTTATTTGAATTGATGTTATAAACACATAACTGATTCTTTGAATAACTGCCTGTTTATGTTAAGTGACAATACTTGAATAATTAGCTGGCATATTTCTGAAGCAGGGGATTACTGTATTTATTTTAATTAGCTAATTACGGCAGGCATGGGTTCTTTCATGTGCTCTGCAGTGAACATTGCCACCCATGTGTGAGAGAGACAGCGAGTCATCTCTCCACTGCAGAGTGATTAGCTTTGTGCAGAACTGCATTAGAATATTGTCTGGTTTCAGTTTTCACATTTAGGTTAAAGCATCCAGAGATAATACCAATTCATTTAAGAGGCACATATTATACAACCAGAGAGGAAAGATAAATGAAATCCTTTATCTCCAAGAGAGGAAAAGGTATAGATAACTATATCAGTAAAATAGATGAAGAGTTCTTTTGAGTCTAGTCCCAATTATCTTTACCCCCAAAGCAGACTCAGGAATGGGCTTAAATTGTAGCTAGAGTTTGGCTAGACATTAAAACAACCCAGGTGGGGGCCTCCCTGGTGGCGCAAGGGGTTAAGCACAGCACTGTGAAGCTAACGCAGCCTCTACAGCATGAGTTCGATCCCCGGCTAGGGAACTACCCACATGGAGCGACAGACCTCTCCTGACTCAACCGCTGCTTTCCCTCAGCAGTGTATTCAGTAGATCTGCCTGTTCTGCTCCCCACTCTGTCTCTGATGAATCCTCTCATCCCCCACACTCCTGGCCTGTACCCCTGTTCTTGTGTGCATAAATAAATAAATCTTTAAAAAAATAAAAAACAACCCAGGTAATTGTAAATGTGAGGAGTAGATGTTAGACTAATCTTTATGTCTGTTATCGAGGTAATATTTTTATTTTGGTCACTTCACCAATAAATAAATGTTTTTAGTGCCTATGCTGTGAGACATTTGACATTCTTCTAAAAAACTAAAAAAAATTAAAGCATATTAAAAATTATATAACACTAGGCCAGTATTATTGATTTGCTAGGGAACCAGATTTTTGTATGGATAGCTTTTTTTTTTTTTTTTTTTTTTTAATTTTACACTGTTTCCTCAGTTGGTGTCAGATTTTATGAATCATTATAGATCTACTAATTTATTGATGGGAGTTTAGATATAGCACTCCCAATTTTAATATAACAAGAAAAATCAAATATTTAAAAATTCAACATGTGTTTTTCCTCACTTTATTTTTCAGAACCGATACTGCTCTCTAAATGTAAAATTCAACTCAACTGTAGCCATTTGTTCTAAGAGTTTAATAACTATTGAAAGTTAGGCTCAGTGTAAATCATGCTACAATATACACCCACACAAATACGAATTTCTGCTGTGGCTTTAGGTTTCTTCACTCAATTTAAAACATACCCCCGGGAAAAAAAAATAGATTGTAATTGTATAGGGAATATAAAAAATAAAATTTAAATTAAAAAAAATACCCCCGGAGCACACCCTCTTTGGAAGTATGTGAAAATAAGTATTAAAATACTGACTATTTGAATATGACAGACTTCATCATCTGGGAAACTTATTATTAAGTTAGCGCCTATTCCAGAATCTCCAGTTCATGTTTTAATTCTGTTTTTTTTAGGATCTGCAACAACTGCAACAGCTTCAACAACAGAATCTCAACCTGCAGCAGTTTGTGTTGGTGCATCCGACTACCAATTTGCAACCAGCGCAGTTTATCATCTCACAGACGCCCCAGGGCCAGCAGGGTAAGCATCTCTGGAGTGTGTCTGTGGTGCCAGTTTCCATATGTGACCCACTCCTGAAACTGGCTATGAAAACAATGTTTTTATTAAGTTTTATTTAACTTTAACTCAATATCCATATAATAATTTTTTTTTTGTCATGTATTACCACATTATTGAAGGTCATTTTTCGTGGCCTCTCCTCTACCTACTACTTACAGAGGAACCAAGAGTTAGGCCAAAAATTTAAACGAAATCCTTCAACATGCTGAACATAAACTGGATAAATTGTTTTAGTGTTTTGATAGTTTTTAATGGGGATGTATTTGAAGAATGTGGGTAGATAACGAAAGCATATGCTTCTAACAATCATTACTTTTAAAATTTGAGAAGGAAAGGTGCAAATGTGGTTAAGTTATTAAAAATATCTTTGAGGCCTTTTAAAGTATAATTGTGTGATTTCTGTATCAGACAATGAAGTTCAGTCACATTTGTAATATTGGTTAATGGAACGGATCCATGAGAGTTTAAGGATAGCAAGACCTCAACCCAAGGAACATTGGGGCATCTCTACTGTTTCCTCACTATTTCTGTTTTTTTTTTTTTTAACCTTTTTTCTTCTTGATCATGCATTCTGATATCTTTTTTTTATGTAAATATGTATTCCACTTCCGGGGTAGCCTGCTCTTGAAATAGAGAATTCTCTGGTTTTGTATGCAGTTGCATTTTCTGATGAATTCTGGGTAAAGAAATTGAGCTCTTGGGGAATTTCAAGCTGCTTCCATTTAGAATACTTTTTCATTTTCATCCATTCCTTACTAAGATAAAGAATTTGCCAATCAGTGGTTATTTAGGTTATACATTAAAGAATTACCAATTTTAGTTAACTGTTCCGAATCTTCATGCTCAAGTTGTACTTAACAAGGTTGACGTTTAGGCAGACTAAACTGTTAGGAGATCATTTGGCAATTTTCACTTCACCTTATTTTTTTTGCCATTCATTCAAAGTAGTTTTTTTTGTTTTTGTTTTTGGCATAACATGTTTCTATTTTACAGGTCTCCTGCAAGCGCAAAATCTTTTAACGCAACTACCTCAGCAAAGCCAAGCCAACCTCCTACAGTCGCAGCCAAGCATCACCCTCACCTCCCAGGTCAGTGTTCTTTCATGGGGGTTGCATTCCTATTATTTTGGACTTTATTTAACTTAAAAAACAATAACAGCAATCTTCCTCAATATCTTAATAAAAATAACACAAATTTTCAAAATCTGACAAAGAATCAAAGCTGGGCTTACCAGCTTGACTGATCATTACTACCAAATTGATGTAATCTTTGAAAACCTTCAAGAATATGTGTTAGTGTAAATAAGTAATGAGTTCTGGCTATTCAGACCCCCATTTTCCCATCGTTGGCAGTAGAAACTACCACTTGAAATAGAAACTTGAGCTTCAGTTAAAACCCATCAGTACCCTTTGTCCTCTCTCAGATGCAGCAAAGAAACTCTGATGTCTGTGTTTTCTTTCCTCTCACAGTTCAGATGTTGTTTTATCTCATTTCCACCAGAGTTTAACTGTATGAAAAGCACAAGTCTGGTCATTTAAAGGTTTTAAATTTCTCATTAGTTGTGACTTTGAACGTGTCATTTTACGTCTCTGGACCTCCACTTTCCTATCTGTCCATAAAGCAGGTGATGAAACTGGCTTATCCTGAATCTCCCTTACAGCTTTGATACTCTGTATCATGGAAATTGTCACTTAATACTAACCCATTATTAGATTTGACCAAATTCAACATGTTTAGAATACAAACTCTGTAAACAAAAATCTATAAACAGTGATCATTTGGGAGTTGAAATTACAAAGAAAATTGCAGTACTCAGATAAACTTCATGAAATGGGAAAATTTTTGTGTGCTTGGATTAGGGTAATGATTTCTTAAGTGAACACAAACAACTAACAATAAAAGAAAAATTAATAAATTTAATTTCATAAAAATTAAAAGTTTCTCTTAAAAGAATAAAAAGAAAAGTTATGGACTGTAATGAAATATTCTTAAAAACTCTTATCTGATAAAAAAATATATCCAGAATATATAAAGAATGCATTAAACTCAGAAACCTTTAAAAAGGGTTTGTGTGCAAAATAAATGATAGAAATGTGCCTCTGATACCTTCAGCAATGTGTGATAAGTGAAAGAGGTCAAATATAAAGGACTGTATTCTGTATGGTTCAATTTATATGGCATTTTAGAACAGACAGAACTTTAGGGACAGAAGTCTTAGCAGAGGTTGCCAGGGGCTATGGGTTGGGGATTGACAGCATAGGACACAAGGGAACTTTTGGGGGCAGTGGAAAAGTTGTATATCTTAATTGTTGTCATTGCTATATCCAGTTGTCAAAACACAGAAAACTATACTTTTAAATGGTACATTTAATTGTAAATATGTTGAATATAAACTTAAGGTTGCAGTTTTGCAAAAAACCTATACTAGTGACTCCTTCCTGGGATACATCTGTGTGCACAGTGGCAGGGCTGTGGTGGCTTCATCCCAATTCCTGCTCACTGAATTCTACTCTACTATTTCTAGATCTGGCCCAATTCAACCTGAGGTTTCTGGAGTTGGGGTAACATATCTGTAACCACCCCACCTAAAGGTACCCAACCTGTTTTTAGTCCTTTATTATAAGAGAATGGGGCTCCACAAAGCCCAGAGATGAAGTAACAGTCTAATACTTGAGACTCACCTCTACCTATCCACCAGTTCTACTGGAAATTGTACAACTACAAAGGATTCTACTATGGTTGGCACTGTTCTGGGCTACTCCAAGATGGTCAGGTTGAAAATTATTCAGTGTCTTCATATCATATAGAAGTGTGCTTTGTTATCTTCAACAACAGGAAGCAGGATGGCAGAGAGGAGGTTACCCTAATTATAGGGCTGTTTAATGCCTGTTATAGTTTTGTGAGCCAGTTAGTTCAGTTGGAGAGAGCACATTACTAATGAGGGCAAAATTAAAGGTGTATGACCCATGTAAATTACGAGAAGAAAGCTCACAGCCTCAGGTTTGATCTGCAAGCCTGGCCTGTCATTGTTCACCTGGACTGTGTCTACAGGAAGGGTCAACTGAGCAGGTATGATGCAGCGTCAGGGCTGTTCCTCCCCCTGTCAACACTCCAGAGGCTGGGTTCTACTCAGGGATTGTGAGGAAACCAGAGTAACCTCGTGTTTCTGTAACAGGGAAATTTAATATTTTTTTTTTTTTACAAAAAGGAAAGATTGTGTTCATCCAAGTGAATTTTAGTTGGATTTAAATAATGAAATATTTTTAAATGCCTAGAGGCAGCTAGCAGAATATTAAAAAGAATTTTATGTGAGTTAGAAGTAAGTAAAAGGTTTCTCAGATTTGAAGTAACAGAAGATATTAGAAAGGGCAAAAAAGTTCACCCAAAAGATAATTTAAAATTTATGTACACTAAAAAGTAAAAACAAATTGGGAAAATTATTTAATGTAATGGGTAAAAATCTTTTACATTTAATGAGCTCTTTAAGAAGATATCATTACTATGTAAATGGTTATGGATGTAAATCCACTTCACATCAAAGGAAATGACATAATAACTGACACTGGGAAAATTTTTACTTTAAGTAATAATAATAATAATAGAAATTAAAGCAAAAGTCAAGTACCATTTAGTCCCTGAATTAGCCAAACATTGTTAAAAACAACTATTTCAAATCATGTGGAGAGCCTTGTATACCAAGAACCAACATTATGATGTATCTCAAAAACCATGAAATTGTTTATGGTGTTCCTTTTCCAGTTATAGAAAATCCTCTGTGAATATACCTTACAGAATCACAAAGGTGAAGAAAATATGCACAAATTATTTTTTATTGTGATATTACTTGTGTTGGTGAAAACTAAATGAAAGTGTCTAGTGATGAAGGAATTATTAAATAAATTATGATTATTGCTTCTGCCACCTTTGGGGAATAACTTATTCATTATGAACACTGAAACACCATAGGAAAAAAGAGTAAAGATAATATTAAGTGCAAAAAACAGTATAAAACTATGTTTAACATAATTGCTGTTACAAACTAAAATACAGATCTGAGGAAGGGAGGAAACATTTAGAGTGTATATGGTGATGCTGTATATCCCTGGGTGCACACTTATCTTCAAACTCAAAAAGGATAATGACATTGAACATTACAGCATATTTGTATGTCAGTTATATCTCAATAAAATAAAGTTTTCTCTTTGATTTTGTGCCTTTTAAAATCTTAATCTTATTATAAAAATTATTCTGCTCTGGGGGGTGGGGGGCGGGAGGGGAAGGATTGGGGTCAGAATGGGGCGTTTGCAATTGTATGGGGGAATATAAAAATAAAATTTAATATTAAAAAAAAAAAGAAAAAAAAATAAATAAAATTTATTATTAAAAAAAAAAATTATTCTGCTCTGCGGGACACACACCTGGTTATTGAAGATTTGAAAATTACTTACAATTTGTGAAAGAAAGTTTGTGATTAGTTAATTTATCAGTGCAATAAATTAAAAACAGGGTAAAATAATATAGACCTGTGAAAGAAAACTTGAACAAATACACAAAAATGAAGCTGTAGGTGATTTATATTTCCCCCTTAAAATGGTTTTGATAATCTTATATTTGTGTCATAGTTAGGGGTATGATAGTAATAATAAAGACATACAGTCCCTGCTGTTTAGGGACTTGTAGTACAGTGACATATTTATGAAGTGTTTTTGAAGACAAATTTATTTAAAGCACAAAGTGTGTATATGTATGTATATCTATATATACACACACACACCCCTATAACATGTTTCATTTTTTTTGTATTCAACTTTTTTTTCATAGGTTTATGTATTGAACCTTGTATTTATAGTATACATAGTTTCACATTGGTGTCTTCTATAGTGTTATATTATCTCCTTAATTCTCCAGGAATATAACTGTTTCCTTAAGTTGTTACTTGCAGGACATTACAGTTATAACAAATAACCTGTATATGGCTCCTTCTTTAACAGCCAGCAACCCCAACACGCACAATAGCAGCAACCCCAATTCAGACACTTCCACAGAGCCAGTCTACACCAAAGCGAATTGATACTCCCAGCTTGGAGGAGCCCAGTGACCTTGAGGAGCTTGAGCAGTTTGCCAAGACTTTCAAACAAAGACGAATCAAACTTGGATTCACTCAGGTAGGATGAACCCACCTTTAACCTAGAGATTTCTCTCTTCAGCTGGATCTAAATTTCCTTTATGAATCCATGTATATTCCTCAACTTTGTTGTTTACTAGTTTTAGACTGTAATACTTAGCCATTTCTTTCATTGACAAGTTTAAATTATTACATGTAATACATATTGTTATAAATTTATGATTTAATGTTAGGTTGAGATCCTAAAGACTTTTCTTAGAACACAGGCCTCTGGAAATTACAATTAAACCAATAATGGTGAAAATTTAAAAGATCAGGTTGGAGGTTGATGTAGTTGTACTGACAGTTTTATTATTTGAGGAACACCTACACCTGGTTCTTAGTGCTATATATGTGCAGTTGAGAGAGTGGAGATTACAGGGTCTTTTCAGTAGTAGCTGAAAGGGGAAAAGGTTGAAGAACTTGTTTAAAATAGTCTCCCTCTGCCACCATCCCCCCATCCCCGAGAAAGGGGAACTGTAGACAGACAGACAGACAGACAGACACACACACTCACACACACACAAAATTAAGTCCAAACTGAAACTAATCAAGTAAGAATCTGTGTGAGGTGAAAAATTCACATTATTTTTTTAAGGTCACACAGCAGAGGGCTTTTAAAATGGAGTAAGTTTAATGGTTTAAATAGGCAATTGAGTATATAGCATTTTTGATTCAAGCACTGCCACAGACTTACTCTCACAATATCAATATCTCACAATATCTCACAAACAATACTTTTAACAGGAAAGGAATTAAACTGATAACATTTATGCAAAATGATATGGGATCATTAGGTGGAAAAGTTTACTGAAATATAGATTAGATTGGGTATGGTTATGAAATCAGGGGGGAAAATGGCATTTTCTTTCCAGTGAATATAAATACCATTTGAAATTTAAACCACAGCTTAAATACTATCTAAATTATTTTGGGTTGAAAGTAAAATGATGCACCACCTACTCTGGTAGATCAAAAACCAGAGATGGTATCCCTGCCTGTGTTCTGTGTGTTTTTAAAAAGATACTTTCAATGTTCCTTCTTTGTTTTACTTGATGTCATTTTATTTTTGGTAATTTATTTTTGCTCATGAAAACTAATTATCTGTTGGGACCATAAAATGATTTTTTAATTAGATATAATTTTAGAGAAAATGCCATTACATTTGTGAAGAATGCATTTGAGAAGAGACAAATTTCAAGTCAGAAAGATTTGGCACTTTTTAGCATCTAAATGATCTGACTTATTTTTAAAAAAGAAAGCTAATGGTATAGCTAGAATGATAGGGACATGTTAATCTTAAATAAGTATAAGGTTGGCATATTTCACAGTGTTTCAGCTTTGAAGCAATCAGCACAGCATACTCTTAGGTTCCCTAGGAAATTGTAGCTTAAGTGATATGCCAGGGATGTTAAGACTTTTAAAAATCTTTTTTACCCAAATATTGGTTTACCTTTCTGTGGCATTTGACCCAACATAGTACTATTATTGTGTTCCCCTCCCTCTCGCTCTTGCTTCTCTTTCTCTCTGCCTTGTATAAAGGAGAGTCCCTATGGTCTTGTGTTCTGCTCTATGGTTTTATCCTATTAGTTGGCATGTCTGTTCCTTCTTTCAAAAAAGCATTTGACATAGCAGTGGCAACATTTCACAAACCTTGACTGCATGGTTTAATTTAAAAACGGGAGAGGGCCTCCCCGGTGGCGCAGCGGTTGAGCGCTGGGTTGCGAAGCTGCCCGCAGCCTCGGCAGCGCCGGTTCGATCCCCGGCTACTCCCCGGCCACCGGAGGAGGGTCCCACATGGCGCGCAGACCTCTCCTGCCGCCCGCTGCTCCCCTCAGCAGTGTACTTCGGTCCTTCTGCCTGCTCTGCTCCCCGCTCTGGCTCTGGTGAATTCTCTCACCCTCCCGCGCTTCTGACTGTACCCAGTGCTTGTATAAATAAATACATAAATCTTTAAAAAAAAAAAAAAATAAATAAAAAAAAAATAAAAATGGGAGAGTTCATCCTCCCTGGTGGCTCGAGGAGTTAAGTCTCAACATTATGAAGCTATCAGCAGCCACTGTAGCACAAGTTTGATCCCCAGGCCGGCCAGGGAGCTGACCCACATGGTGCAGCAGACCCCTCCTGTCTCCCACTGCTCCCTCAGCAGTGTATTTCAGTCAGTCTGCCTGTTCTGTTCCCCATTCTGTCTCTGGTGAATCCTCTCATCTCCCCCCTACCTATGGCCTGCCCCTCCCAGCTCTTCTATGCATAGATAAATAAAATAAATCTTTAAAAAATAAATAAATAGAAATGGGAAAGTCGGGCCTCCCCTGGTGGCGCAGGCGGTGGAGTGCCGCACTGTGAAGCTGTCCACAGCCTCTGCAGCGCCAGTTTGATCCCAGCCGGCCAGCGAGGGTCCCACATGGCGGGCAGACCTCTCCTGTCTCGCCTGCTGCTCCCCTCAGCAGTGTATTTCGTCAATCTGCTTGTTCTGCTCCCCACTCTGTCTCTGGTGAATCCTCTCACCCTCCCGCACATCTGGCCTGTACCCCAGTTCTTGTATAAATAAATAAATAAATCCTTTAAAAAATGGGAAAGTCAACCTTTGTTTTTATATCATATTCCTCAATTGTAGTTTTGAAAGGTTTCAATTTAATTATGTGCACGTATCAAGGGGAAGTCAAACATTCAGATTACTAGTTAAAAGCAAAAATAGTCTATTTCCTTAGTATACATATTATTGGATGTCTTAACACCTAGTTGTTTAATTACATAATTAGTTACTAAAGGATTACTATAAATGTCAATATCTAATTAGAAGGCATACTATAGTATGACACTTTCATCACCTATGGTACATTCGGTGTTTCCTAATACCGTTGTTCCTTTTGCCCGTTTGCTTTAAAACATATCAAAAGATATAATATAGGCCAGATTATGTGTTAATCAACTGCTTATAACATTTACTTTTGTGAGGTGGAACCCAAGATGGTTATGAGTTACAAGAGCACTAAACCAAGCATGTATCAAACTAATGAAAATTAGTGTATTACCCAAGTGACCTGTTGCTTTTTATTCATTTAAATAATTTAAATATAAAGTAAAATTGTATTCAAAGTTTCAATTAAGTGTTATTTAGTGCCATAGTTTTAGTTGATGGTAGTTTCATTTCCAGTCACCAACTTAAAATGTTAGTTTTTATCCTTATTATGAAGTGATATTTAAATAGGTATTTTTTTATTTTTTTTAATAATAAATTTTATTTTTATATTCCCCATACAATTGCAACCCCCCCCCATTCTGACCCCAATCCCTCCCCTCCCGCCCCCCACCCCAAAAAAGTGTCTCTTGTTCATAGTTTTTTCTTGATTTTGATTTTCACTTTCTTATAGTTATTCATTTTCCTGGTCCCTTATTTAGGTTTTCTAGATTCCTGCTATGAGTGAGACCATCCGGTATTTTTCTTTTTTCTTTTTGGCTTATTTCGCTGAGCATGATCCCTTCCAGCGCCATCCATGTTGCTGCAAATTGCATGTGTTTATCTTTTTTGAATGCTGAGTAATATTCCATGGTATATATGTACCACATCTTCTTGATCCACTCATCTATTTTTGGGCATTTGGGCTGTTTCCAAAGCTTAGCTATTGTAAATAGTGCTGCTATAAACATAGGGGTGCAGGTGTTCGTTGGAATTGATGTTTCTGTGTCCTTTGGGTAAATACCTAAAAGTGGAATTGCTAGATCATATGGAAGCTCTATGTTTAGTAGGTCCAGAAATCTCCACACAGCTCTCCATAGTGGTTGGACCAGTTTGCACTCCCACCAACAGTGCAGAAGAGTTCCTTTTTCTCCACACCCTCGCCAACATTTGTTGTTGCTAGTTTTTTTAATATGTGCCATTCTCACTGGTGTAAGATGGTATCTCATGGTAGTTTTGATTTGCATTTCCCTGATGACAAGTGATGTTGAACATTTTTCATATGCCTGTTGGCCATTTGCCTTTCCTCTTCAGAGAAGTTTCTTTTTAGCTCTTCTGCCCATTTTTGGACTGGATTATTTTCTTTGTTGTTGTTGAGTCTCATCAGCTCTTTGCAGATTTTTGTGATCAGTCCTTTATCATTAGTGTTGGATGCAAAAATGTTCTCCCAGTTGGTGGGGTTTCTCTTTGTTTTTGTTATTGTCTCTTTTGCTGTGCAGAAGCTCTTTAATTTGATGTAGTCCCAGCTGTTTATCTTTGCCTTCACTATCACTGCTTTGGGTGATGTGTCTGTAACGATGTCTTTGATGTGCAAATCACGTAGTGTTTCGCCTATATTTCCTTCTATGTATTTTATGGTTTCAGGTCTTATGTCTAGTTCTTTAATCCATTTTGAGTTGATTTTTGTGTATGGTGTGAGGTAGTGGTCAAGCTTCATTCTTTTGCATGTAGCGACCCCAGTTTTCCCAGCACCATTTATTGAACAAACTTTCTTTGCTCCAATGCATAGTCTTTGCTCCTTTGTCAAAGATTAGTTGACCATAAATCTGTGGGTTTATTTCTGGATTTTCTATTCAATTCCATTGGTCTGTATGTCTGTTCTTGTTCCAATACCATGTAGTTTTGATGGTTATGGCTTTGTAGTATAGTTTGAAGTCTGGGAGTGTGATGCCTCCATTCCCTTCTCTTTTTTTTTTTTTTTCAGGAGAGCTTTGGCTATTCGGGGTTTTTTGTGATTCCAAATGAATTTCATCAATAATTGGTCTATTTCTTTGAAGAATGACATTGAAATTTTGATTGGAATAGCATTGAATCTGTATATTGCTTTTGGTAGGATGGCCATTTTAATAATGTTTATTCTTCCAATCCATGAGCAGGGGATGTCTTTCCATTTCTTTGTGTCTTCTTCTATTTCTTTTAACAGTGTTTTATAGTTTTCTTTGTATAGGTCCTTTACCTCTTTTGTTAGATTTATTCCCAAATATTTGATTTTTTTTGTTTCGATAATAAAAGGGATGGTTGTTTTTATTTCTTCTTCTTCAGATTTATTGTTTGTGTATAGGAAGGCTACCGACTTTTGCGTGTTGATTTTGTATCCTGCCACTTTACTGAACTGATTGATTAGTTGAATTAGTTTTTCTGTGGAATTTTTGGGGTTCTCTATGTATATTATCATATCATCTGCAAATAGTGATAGTTTGACTTCTTCTTTTCCTATTTGGATTCCTTGGATGTCTTTCTCTTGTCTTATTGCTCTGGCTAGGACTTCCAGTATTATATTGAAAAGCAGTGGTGAGAGTGGACATCCTTGTCTTGTTCCAGATCTTAGTGGAATTGCTTTCAGCTTTTCACCATTGAGAATGATACTGGCTGTTGGCTTGTCATAGATGGCCTTTATGATGTTGAGGTATGTTCCTTGTATCCCAAGAATTTCAAGGGCTTTTATCATGAATGGGTGTTGCACTTTGTCGAAAGCTTTCTCAGCATCTATTGATATTATCATATGGTTTTTATATTTCTTTTTGTTGATGTGTTGGATAACGTTGATTGATTTTCGGATGTTAAACCATCCTTGTGCCCCTGGAATGAATCCTACTTGGTCGTGGTGAATTATCTTATGGATACATTGTTGGATTCTGATAGCTAAAATTTTATTGAGGATTTTTGCATCAGTGTTCATTAGGGAGATTGGCCTGTAGTTTTCCTTTTTTGTGTTGTCCTTGTTCGGTTTTGGTATTAGTATAATGTTGGCTTCATAGAACGTGTTTGGTATTGTCCCTTCCTTCTCAATTTTTTGGAAGAGTTTGTGAAGGATAGGCACTAATTCATCTCTGAATGTTTGGTAGAATTCATTTGTAAATCCATCAGGTCCTGGGCTTTTGTTTTTGGGGAGGTTTTTGATTACCATTTCAATTTCGCTGCTTGTAATTGGTCTGTTTAGGTGTTCTATTTCTTCTTTATCTAGCTTTGGGTGATTGTAGAGTTGTAGGAATTTGTCCATCTCCTCTAGATTGTTGAACTTGTTTCCATACAACTGTTCATAGTAGTTATTGATTATTCTTTTGATTTCTGCTGTGTCCGTTGTGATTTCTCCTCTTTCATTTGTGATCCTGTTTATTTGTGCTTTCTCCCTTTTTTCCTTTGTGAGCCTGGCTAGGGGTTTGTCTATTTTATTGATTTTTTTCAAAGAACCAGCTCTTGGTTTCATTGATCTTTTGGATTGTTTTTTTAGTTTCAATTTCATTTATTTCTGCTTTGGTTTTTATTATTTCTTTTCTTCTACTGGTTTTGGGGTTTTTTTGTTGTTCTTTTTCTAGATCTTTGAGCTTCGAGATTAGGTTGTTTCTTTGAGTTCTTTCTTGTTTCTTGATGTGAGCTTCTATAGCTATATATTTTCCTCTTATTACTGCTTTTGGTGCATCCCATACATTTAGGATATTGGTGTCCTCCTTGTCATTCAATTCAAAGAATTTTTTAATTTCTTCTTTGATCTCCTCATTAGTCCAGTGGTCTTCCAGTAGTGTGGTTTTTAATCTCCATGAGGTAGGAAAGTTCCTTGCCTTCTTTTTATGGTTTATTTCTAGTTTGATGCCTTCATGGTCAGAAAAGATGGTTGGTATGATTTCAATCTTTGTGTATCTGTTGATGTTTGTCTTGTGCCCCAATATGTGATCGATCCTGGAGAATGATCCGTGTGTGCTTGAGAAAAATGTGTACTCTGTTTTTTGGGGGTTTAGTGTTCTATAGATGTCTGTTAAGCCCAATTGCTCTAGGTCCTTATTTAGAGCTTTAGTTTCTTTACTTATTTTTTGTCTTGTTGATCTATCCATTGTTGATAGTGGTGTGTTGAAGTCTCCCACTACGTATGTGTTTAAACAGGTATTTTATTTTTTATTTACTTATCTGTATTACTGCTTTGCATAGGAAGGTATTATAGAAGTTTGTAAAAAATTCTTACCAAATGGTGCAGACACACACACAATGTCAGAAAACTTTTTATTGCCATCTGACTGCTACAATATATCTTTCTACCCAAAGAATTCCAAGTTTAGTTGGCCCCACTTTTTTAGAAAGCTATCCTAAACACAGTGACCATCATGTAAATATATGTGCCAAACAAAGCATGTTAGTGTCTGATATAGCAGGCTCCTAGTGAAAGTTTATGGATTGAGTGATGTGTGATATAGTAAATCTATAGAGATGTCAATAAATATACATCATAGATAGAATCATACATAGATAATGCATATATGATATATGCCCTCTCATGCTGTGCTGGTTCTCTCAGTTTTTCTGTAATTGGGAGGAAGTCAATAAGCATTGCACTTTATTCTTGTTAGAGACAGCTACTCAGAACTATCAACAAAATTGTCTGTTATGAGGGAGCATTCCATATCTATGCTGGCCACTGTGATAGCCATCTCCTGTGGCTATGGAGGACTTGAAAGGTGCTGAAGAGCTGAATTTTTTTTATTTATTTAAATTTAAATAGTCACATGTAGATAGTGGTTGTCCTATGGGAAGGCATAGGCTATTGATAACTGAAGTTCAGGTATTCTCTATGCCTCATTTTGTCTTATAGTTCCAACATTTCTTCTCTGTTAAACTTTTTACCAGAAGTTGCTTACCAGTAAAAAAGAAAGAAAGAAATTTAAAAAATTTTCTTTTTCCTGACAACCACCTAATGAATGTACTAATTAAAATGTAGTATCCAAAAGGTGAAATACCAGATGGCAAATCAAAGGACTGGAATAATCCCTATTTAAAATGAATGTTTCCAGGATAGTTGGGAGTTGTGTAACTCAAAATAGTGGAATTACCCATATGGTCCTTTCAATGAGAAATGTTGCCTTTCTGCCCTGTGACTCACCAGATTGAAATGAGAGGGTGAACTTATAACTTGTGTTACTTGTATATAAAATAACTATTAAGAAATGGCTTTTTTTTTTTCCAGCTTTAACTAGAGAGAAAAGCACTGTATACATTTCAAAGATTATAGGCTTATCGAAAGAGACATCTTTTGTGATATATTCAGGAGAGCATTGTTCTATTGCTCTAAGGTTACCAACTTGCCGGTGCCCATGAAGGTTTTACTAAATGGGTCAACCCTCTCTACTGTGAATTTCTACCTCTATAATGGTTACAAAAGTAGTTTTTTAAAATATCTATTTTTTGGTAAAACTTTGAATTCCAAACTAAGAATGAAAAATAGATTTTTCCACAGCTCCAGAAATATGTAACTGGAAACAAAAAAGAAAAAAACAAAAAACTAAGAATCACTTCTAGATTTCAAAGTGATTTATGGGAAGTTTGGTTTGCTCAGAAATACTTAAGTTTATCTAGACAGTTACATCTATTAATACTATAGGTGATGTACGTAAACTGATTTTTAAAGATTTCTTAAATTACTTCACTTGCATCAATGAAGATTCTTGTTAGAATATCAGCACTATGAGACTTAGTAAAAATATTTGATATCTACATTCTTACATAAAGGTAACACGAATAGATTCAAAATGGAGAGAATGAGAGAATGCAGGACAGATTTTAATGTTGTCATGAACAAGTCCTCACTAGCAGTCCTCATTGGAGTCCCATGTCCAGCTTAGGGATGGATGATTTTGTGAAATCCAGTAAATGGAAAGATTGTTGTTGTTGTTGTCGTTTTTTGCTTAGAGCAGTGATTGGAATGATACCCTAAAATGAAGTCTGTAAACGTTAGTGAGATGAATCTCTTTTCTTCCTCTCCCCTCTCTGCTCTGTCTTACTGTGCAGGGCGATGTTGGGCTCGCTATGGGTAAACTGTATGGAAATGACTTCAGCCAAACTACCATCTCTCGCTTTGAAGCCTTGAACCTCAGCTTTAAGAATATGTGCAAGTTAAAGCCACTTTTGGAGAAGTGGCTAAATGATGCAGGTCAGTGAATATGTAAGAAATTTCCTCATTGTCCATTGGAATTTTACAAAGGATTGCTGTATTAAGTTGGAGTCTGTATTTCTTAATGCATTATTGGTACTACAGAATCTTGAAGCTTACTAATGTGGGGGGAGCAATATAAATTATGTCTATATAACTTGAGCACTAAATTCATTTAAATGGTTTAGTAATTATAGTAATATACAATCAGCGGAAATTTTTAGCTTCAGAATATTTCTTGAGTTGGACAGGTTATGGGCAGTTAGAGGAAAAGGTTAAGGCCTATATATTTTAAATGAACTTGAAAAACAAGTTTATTTGTTAACAAGTTTATTTGTCCTCAATGAATTATGATAAACTTTTTCCTGATAACATTTCTGCTTTCGTTGTTAAGAATGACCTCATATTTCATACATAAAAAATTGAGCTGCCAGGGGCCTCCCTGGTAGCACAAGAGATTGAGCACAGCACTGTGAGGCTCTCCTCAGCCACTGCAGCATGAGTTCGATCCCCGGCTAGGCAAGGAGCAACCCACATGACACAGCAGACCTCTCCTGTCTCGTTCCCTGCTCCCCTCAGCAGTGTTTTTCAGTCAGTCTGCCTGTTTTGTTCCCTACTCTGTCTCTGGTGAATCCTCTCACCTCTATACCTCTGGCCTGTACCCCAGTTCTTGTATGCATAAATAAATAAATCTTTAGGATAAAAGAGCTACCAGTTGTACCTTATATTTTATGTTGAGGTTACCTTTTAGGAAATTTGAATTTTGAGTGACAGAGTCATAAACTATCATTAAGCACTGTAAGGGACAACAGAGATTCCCTAGACAATGTACATGTGAACAAAAATCAGGTCTTTGTAATTCCCACCTGTGGTCATTTCTGTTTATTTAGCTCAGGGTTAGGCCCCAACTTTTGTAACTTTACTGACTTCCTCAGGTAAGACCCACGGGTCTGCTCCATTCACCTCGTATGATACACCTACGGTAACCAAACCAATAAATGACAAAACCCTGTTTTAACTTTAAAGAATTTAGAAGTTTTTCATTCTTGATTTGTTTGAGGGGAATCGCCCTAAACTATACCAGTAAAACATCATTTGCAAGATAAATATTAAGTATTCAGTAATTTCCTAGAAGCATTCTTCATTTTGTCCCAAGAACTAATACCTAAATAAGCAAACAAAGCCAAAACATAAAACAGAATTCAGAAGCAGAAGAGCTGAGTCTAAAAGGAAGACCAGTGAACTTTTTTTCTCAGGAACAGAAATCAAAAAGTAGCAGTCACAATATAGCCAAGCTTCCTGAGACAAAGAATGTCGGTAAGAGCAGTAGAAAGATCCATTATACTATCTTAATGTAGGTTGTAAAAATCTTTTCATGCCTACTTGTAACATAAGCTGTATTGGTTAAGTTTGTTATTGATGATGTTAAGATCCGTATTATACACATGAATCATGCTCAGCTAATTTGATTTCTGTAATTTTTTCTTTCTTGCAGAGAACCTCTCATCTGATTCAGCTCTCTCCAGCCCAAGTGCCCTGAATTCTCCAGGGATGGGAGTTGAGGGCTTGAACCGTAGGAGGAAGAAACGCACCAGCATAGAGACCAACATCCGTGTGGCCTTAGAGAAGAGTTTCTTGGAGGTTATTGAGATTTTTACTCTTATTGTATATAGGATTATTCAGTTGTTCTGGTGTTTGGCACTGTGGTTTTTACAGGGTAAACTTGACAGCCTCCCGCCTGTGGATGCTGATAAAGTAGTGGAGAAAATAAAGTTTTACTATTAACCTGGGAGTCAGACAAGAGCTCTGGATCCATGGGTATTCCACACTGGGTAGGAAATGCACCAACGACGACAGTGTATCAGGGGAACATGTATAATGTGGCTTGGCTCCTAGTATCTGCATGCCTGGAATAGTTGGTTGAGACCAGAACACTAAAAACCTTGAATGTTAGCTGTGGAGTTTCAAGTTCAGCCAAGAGATACTTGGCAATATTTTTCTTGTACCAGGGAATATCATAATCAAAGCTTCCAACAAAAATTTGACTTCTCTAATTAAAAAAAGACTTGAACACAGTAAAAGGGACCATGAATCAGGAGTCTTCACCAGGTCTGTCATTTATTAACTATGTGATTGGTTGAGTTAGTTTCTCAAGCAGAGGTCCTTTCATCTGAAATACCTGCCTTTCTTGTCTCACAGGCTTATTATGAGGTCCAAGTAAGGACAGATGTGTGTATGAACCCTGATAAAACTCTTAAATTCCTGTAATGCATAAAGTTGCATTGATTGTAAACTTTATTAACCAATAAGATTATTAATAGTAATGTTTATATTAAAATAACCTTTAAAATGAAAAAATGTAAATATTCAACAATAAGCTTATTTTAAGTTAATATAGATAAATTTAGTAAATATATGTTCATGAAACTATCTATAGAAGTTTTTTGTTAAAAATTGGATAAGTTGGGACCTCCCTGGTGGTGCAGGGGGTTAAGACTCAGCACTATGAAGCTATCCGCAGCCACTGCAGCACGGGAGGTGACCCACATGGTGCAGCAGACCTCTCTTGACTTCCCCGCTGCTCTCCTCAGCAGTGTATTTCAGTCAATCCGCCTGTTCTGCTCCCCACTCTGTCTCTGGTGAACCCTCGCGCCCCTTCACACCTCTGGCCTATACCCCAGTTCTTGCATGCATAATTAAATATATCTTTAAAAAAATAAAAATAGGCTAAGTAGGTCATATATGTCCTAACATTCTGAACATATATGTCCTTCATTATGACTTGTCCCTCTCCATTTGTTTATGTAATGACAAGGTTATGCATGTAGTTTAAAAAGTTATGCCAAAGATCATTTCTCCCCTTCAGAATCAAAAGCCTACCTCGGAAGAGATCACCATGATTGCTGAACAGCTCAATATGGAAAAGGAGGTGATTCGAGTTTGGTTTTGTAACCGCCGCCAGAAAGAAAAACGAATCAACCCACCCAGCAGTGGTGGGACCAGCAGCTCACCTATCAAAGCAATTTTCCCCAGCCCAACCTCACTGGTAAGCAGAAAAGGGGATGTAAACTTATGGGCTAGTTAAATTAAACCTATTAAAGCCTATTAAATTAATTTATTTCATGATAATTAGGAATTTATTATGTATATTCACACTGAATAAATGTATATAAATTCATGTTTTAAATGTTAACAAAGAATTTAAACCTTATCTTGTTGGTGACAAGGATTTACTGACGTTTCTTGAAGTAAAACAATTTTTAATTCTTTCCTGTTTCACTGCAGTTCTAGTTTTCTCTTCTCTGATGTAATTTATTTGGTTACTGTGTAACCATGAAGTAAATTTGCTGCTGATTCCAGTTATCTGAGAAAAAAATCTTTAATTGCTTTTTATTCATATTGGGACCTAAAGCTCAGTCTATTAAACTTAGACTTACATGGCTAAATGATGGCAAAGTCCTGTATAACCTCAAGTTCTGAATTTGATTTAAACAGTCATCTCATGTGGTATACATACACAATGAAATATTATTCAGCAATCAAAAATTATAAACTTATGCCATGTGCAGCCATGTAGATGGAGCTAGAAGGAATATGCTCAGTGAAATAAGTTAGAAGGAAAATGAAAAATATCAGATGGTTTCACTTATAGCAGGAATATAGGGGAACCAAATAAGATATCAGTGTAAAAAAATAATAGTACAAACACAACAAAGCAAAAACAGACAATTATAAATCAGAGACATCCTGCAGGGGAGGAGGAAGAAAGAGGGATCAGAGGGAGGGAGGGAGGAGCACAGGGGACTGAGGTGATAGTGCACAGGTGCATCGGGGAAGGAAATTCCATGGGGATTACACCTTGGGGGTGGGGGAGAGCAAATACTGTTTTAAAATGAACAACTATGTAAAAAAAAGATTAAATAAATAAACGGTCATCTCATATCTTCACTTTGAAGCATGTGGGCCTTTCAACTATAACCTCACAGTCGCTTCTGCTGTTTGCATTGAAATAGTTTTCCTGGACTGAATGGGCACAGAAAACCCATGCAACTCCCTTGATCTTTTTCAGAAGGTCTGTAAATGAGACTCCAAATTGGCAGCCATTGTTCCACAGATGGGAACATTGTTGAATTTACATTTCTAATCCATTCTTCTTAATTTGTTTTTATTTTATTTGAATATCATTTTGTATTGGGAGTCTTTTCAAACTAAAGTCAGTATTAAAAACACAAACTGGTTTATTAAAGTGAAGTCTGGTTTGTTAAATAGTGAACTTTAATTATAAAATTCAAGAAATCGTAATTATAAAAAAGATAGTCATTAGATACAGTTTTGTTATGTTTAGATGACTGTTTTGTGTTTTGGATTTATTTGTCCTTGAACAAAGGCTATTGTAAAACAAATATTGAAGGTTATTTCAGAAAAGAAACTCAGTTTTTAAATTTTTTTATTTAATATTTTTCATATCACTTAATTAAAAACAAAACCATCTGGACACTCTTCTTTCTCCCCCCACAGTGAAAAAATAAGTCAATGCAAGAGACTCAGATTCCTTGATCCTATTGAATAGTTTTCTTATTTTGGTTAAAAGTTACAATGATATTTATTATCGATTTAGAAATATCAAAATTTAGAAATTTTTTATTTCTTCTTAAATCCTAGTTCAAGCTATTTGTCATATCAGTGAAAAAAACAGCTAATCATGGCCTGTCTACCATATGCCAAATTTTTCAGTTCCAAGATCAAAGAGTAATTATGAATTCCTTTAGGAAATTATGAATTTTTAGGCTCTTTTATTATGTTATGCCTGGAATTTTAAAATTTTACGGGAAAAACAAGTCCACAATATGGTCTTAAAAATGTCTGTATTTTGATTTTTAGATGCTCTTGCATATTCTCATTTTTGACCTCTAGGTGGCAACCACGCCAAGCCTTGTGACAAGCAGTACGGCAACCACCCTTACAGTCAATCCAGTTCTCCCTCTGACCAGCGCTGCGGTAACTAATCTTTCTGTTACAGGTAAGCAACTGCTAGGCAAAGGTCAAGCCCATGGTAGGTTTCTATGCGAATCTGCCATTTGATTACGAATTAAGTCTCTGGCTAAGAATATGGATTGCTTTTTTAAAAAGTTGTATATGAAAACCTGAATTCCAAAAAGAAATTAGGCTAGTCAAAATACTCTCACATTAAAATTTTCTTTTTTCTTTTCTTTCCCACGTTAGTGCATCTTCTCCATTGCTTCGAGAACTTTCAGAAATAACAATTTTTTTTCCTAAGTGACACTTCTCCTTATAACCTTCAATAGCTGTAGCTTTTTACATTGAGGAAAACATCTAAATTCATCACCAGTTCAAAGAAAGTTATTTCTTGTCTGGACCCCTGATCTTTCACTAGTCTTGCTTCCATACTGTCCTCAACATAGTCCACCAATAACTTTTCCAACATCCCCTCAGCCTCATAGGTTGACGATTCCACCTGCCTTCTTGATGGCAGTGAAATTATTCCAGCTTAGATATCAGTTCTTCTTGACAATATTCCTTTACCTCCTGAGGAAATTATTCATTTGCACCTGTCTATATTATAAATAATTGCATTTTTACTCCTCTGTCTTTCCCAGTAGAGCACTTCTCAAAATATCTGAATATTCTTTTTGAAATCTTGATTTTTCTTAGTGCCTGACACTCACTATAAAATGGATTAATAAAAATGTTTACTTTGATCTCATTTAAATAGCACATTTTCCAAATACATTTAAAATAAATTAGCATTATCATCAGAAGTTTTTTAGTGAAATATAATGCATGAGGCATTCTGTAATTACTCACCAGGTTGATTAAGTGCTAGCAAATCATTGGATGGATTTGTGATATTTCACAAACTTGAATCTAACACAGTATTAGGGAATTTTACATTTTTTCACTCACGTTTTAAGTTCATGACACCTCTTTGCCTGTTACCTAACCATGATGTAAAAATCGAATGAATGACTTTACATAGTTACTGATTTATAAGTTATTAGAAAATCTCATCATTATGTTTACTTAGAACAGTATTCTTGACCTCCCTTTGGTTCTTGAACCTCTTTGAAAATCTGATGAAAGCTATATATTTTCCCCTCACAAAATAGATACACACAATTTTTAGTAAAATTTAAGATTTATAAGTGAGAATCCCTATTAGGAATCATTTGAGGATGCCTTAGGAATTCAAAATTCTAAGTCCAGAACCTCTGCTTGAGTGTGTAGTTCTTCAGCTTTCTTAGCCAGCTGTGGGTGATGGGTTGTCATTGTGTTGGACACAGGAATATGAAGTTCCTGCCTCTGCAGAATTGTCTACCATAACTGCCAGTATCTAGTACATTAGGAACTAGACTTTGCCTTCCCAAGAAATTTTAAGTTATATTAATTCCAAAGATAAACATCTTCTGCAGAAAAATTCCTAATAATTCAGACTTTAAGAATCAAGTGGCTTTGAAATTTCCTAAAATGTGGCAAAAGTCTGAATTAGAAGGTCATTTTAAGGAGATACACATACTCAAAACTAGCTACATTTTTTTAAAATCAATTTTGGTGATCCTAATGCCCTTCTTTTTTTCTCTTAACATCTTCCAGTAAGTATCTTACTCTGTTACTAGAGTTTTTACATTTCTACTTTACTTTGTCCTTGTTACATCAAATGGTTGTTGTATAATTGAGTAAAGATTTCCATATGGCATCATCATGGTTAAGTTTTACCCAAGTGACCAACTTTTCCAATGTGAGCCCAGCAAATCTTGCACCTCAGGAAATCCCTCAATCTCAGGCCTCTGGGTGTTGCAGCAGTTGAGCGCTGGGTTGCGAAGCTGCCCGCAGCCTCTGCAGCGCTGGTTCGATCCCCGGCCACCGGGCGAGGGTCCCATGGCATGCAGACCTCTCCTGCTGCCCGCTGCTCCCTTCAGCAGTGTATTTCGTCAGTCTGCCTGTTCTGTTCTCCGCTCTGTGTCTGGTGAATTCTCTCACCTTCCTGCGCTTCTGACTGTACCCAGTGCTTGTATAAATAAATAAATTAATTAAAAAAAAAAAAAAGAAATCCCTCAATCTCTAAGCCACATAACTTGTCTCACTTGTTCACTGTCGTATCCCTTATATAGTAGTATTCACTACTATAATGTTGTCATGAGCACTTTTGTAATTTATTTTGACACAATTTCAGATTGTAGTACAAAAAAATCCTAAATCTCTTCCCTCAGATTCTCCAAATGTTAGAATCTTACTATATTAGCTTTCATGTTTTCACTTGTTCTCTCGCTGTGAGTATGGGTAGAGAATTGTCAAACTTTATTTTAGGGCAAATGGATAGAAAGTAGGCAGGCCAACTAGGCTTTACCCTTACACCTTCCTAAAAGGAGAGGGAGCGTCACTCATGCCTGCCAGTGCCTATGTTAGAGTGCTTAGTCTTCCAAAGTCTTTTTTGAGGGGTAATAGATGTCAGTAGTTCTGCTCATCTGAGAGGCCTGTCTGGTGGATGTAGTGAAAGGCCTGCTGTCAGAGCTGATGTGTGAACGTTGTTTAATCTACCTATTCTCTGCCCTGATCCCTATTCGTCTCTCAGCATAGTCTCCTGCTATAGTCTTCTGAACTAAGTTGGTTTCTCTCCCACCCAATTTCAACCTCTTTTTCATTTCAGCAAACCTATCAAAATCTCAAGTCCTTACCCCAGGTGTCTCATTCCCCTTTTTAGTTCTTTGCCATCATTCAAAATAGGATTGTAGAAATGAAGAAGAAAACCACAGATATCCTCAGTCTACCATCTTCTAAGAGAAGTCGTACCTGATTGGCAGGGTCATTTTGATTTTTTCCAGTATCCGGCACAATACTTAGCACATCATAGGTCCTTTGGTAAACTTTTCTAGAATAGATACAAGAATGATCATTATTGTTCTGCTCCAGAAAGACATGTTTTCTGATTGCAAAATCTCTATAATCCTTAATAATCTCAACTGAACATTCTTCGCGATCAATTCTTTTTCCAGAATACCATTTCATAATGAATCACATGCTTATTATTAGTTCCTCCCCATTCACTCATCCCCTACTCTTGGCAACAACTAATTTATTCTGTCTCTATGGATTTTCCTGTCTTGGACATCCATATAAATGAAATTTTATAATATGTGCCCTTCTGTGTCTGGTTTCTTTCATTTAATATAGTATTTTTAAAGTTTGCTCATGTTGCAGAATATTTTAAGTACTTCATTTTTGTGGCTGAATGGTATATTTCATGGTATGGATATATCACATTTTATTTCTTTCATGAGATGACGGACATTTAAGTCAGGCCATTTTGAATACTGCTGCTGTGAGCATTCATTTCCGAATTTTTATGTGGATATATCTTTTCAGTTTGCTTGGGTATATTCTTAGGAATGAATTGTACGTTATGTAACATACAGGAATATTATAAACAACTTTATGCCCCCAAAATTAGGCAACTTAAATGAAATGGACAAATTACCAAAACAAACTAAAAAGAAAGGGAATAGAAAAACTAAATAGACCTAAGACAAGTAAAATAAATGAAACCTTAATTGAAAGCCTTCCCACAAAGAAAAGCCCAGGCACAGATGGCTTTAGCAGTGAGTTCTACCATATAAAAAGGAGAAATGAAGTTAATCTTAAACATCCTCCTCAAGAAAATAGAGGGAAAAGGACAACTTCATTGTAAATGGGCCAAACTAATCCTGATAGTAAAGCCAGACAAAGCTATCACAATAAAAAAAAAAAAAAAAAAAAAACTATAGACCCACATCCCTCATGAAAATAGACACAAAATTTTCAATAAAATGTTGACAAATCAAATCCAGCAACATAGTAAAAAGATTGAAAGGTTATATATCATGTCTTAGTGTAAGGTTGGTTTAATATCTAACCATCAATTAATGTAATATGCCATAGTAATATACAAAGACCAGAGATGACAGAGCTGATCACATAATCATTTCAGTAAATAAAGAAAAAGCATTTGACAAAATCTAACACCAGTTGATGATAAAAACTTTTAACCTGAAATAAATAATAATTTCCTCACCTAATACATTCCTCACCTAAAAACAGCTAACAGCATAATTAGTGGTAAAAGACTGAATTCCCCACCCTTACTCCCTAACACACATTGCCTCTCAAGATTGAAATAAAAGTGTTGTTCTTGCAACTGCTAATTAACATTGTACTGAAAGTTATAATCAGTTTAACAAGGGGAGGGAAATAAAAAACATTGACTTGGGAAGGGAAGCTATTAATGCCCAAGGAATCTATACACAGGAAAATCTACTGGGACCAATAAATGAATTTAGTATTCTTGCAGGATGTAGGATCAGTATACATAAATCACTTGTATATACTACTGATGAGCAATCCAAAATTGAAATTTAAAAAATTATTCATAGTAGCTACAAAAAGAATAAAATGGTTAGGAATAAATTTAACAAAAGAAGTATAAGACTTACACAGTGAAAACTACAATTTGCTTAGAGAAATTAAAAAAAGATTGACTACATGGAGAGACAGTTTATAGTTTGTTTCATAGTTGGAGACTCAGGTGACAACTTTCTCTAAATTGGTCTGTAGATTCAGTACAATCATAGAAACAGCAGGTTTATTTGTTGTCATTTTATTCTAAAATACACATGGAAGGAGCCCAGAACAGTCAAAACAATTTTGAAAAAGAATGAACTTGGAAGATTTAAATATCCTGATTTCAGAATCTACTAAAAAAGCTACAGTGGTCAGGGCAGTGTGATAACATGTGGCTAAACATGTAAATTAATGAGACTTGGTCCAGAAACAAACCTTTAAATTTATGCTCTGTTGATTTTTGACAAAGGTGCCAAGGAAATTCAGTTGGGAAAGGGCATTCCTCAACAAATGATTCTGGGACAATTGGAGATCCATATGCATGAGGGTGAATTTAGATCCTTATTATTCACAAAAAGTAATTAGAATGAATCAAAGAAATAAAATTTCTAGAAAGAAAGCAAGAGAAAACCTTGGATTAGACAAAAGAGTCCGTAGACACAGCATCGAAAACACAATCCATAAAAGAAAAAAATACTTATAAATTGGGCTCTATCAAAAGCAAAATCTTTGTACTTCAAAAAGACACTTTCAAGAAAATGAAAAAAACTGTAGACTGGTAGAAAATAATTTGTAAATCATAAATATGATGAAGGAATTGTACTATATCATATGAATTCTTGCAATTGAATAATAAAAATTTAAACAACCTGATTCTTAAATGAGCAAAAGATTTTAATATACATTTTACCAAAGAAGTATTGGAATAACTAGTAAAATGAATGCCCATGAAAAGATGCTGAACATTCTTACTCTTTGGGAAATACAGATTAAAACCATAATAAGATAACTACTTCATAGTCACTAGGATCACTGTAATCAAAAAAGACCAAAATAACAAATCAGTGAGGATTTAGAAAAACTGGAACCATCATACATTGCTGGTGCTAATGAAAATGATGGTTTCTTTAATGGTGAAGCATTAAGTTCTTCATCCTACCCAGCAGTTCCCCAAGAGAAAAGAAAACCCATGAGTATATATATGAGATCATATAAAAACTTTCACACAGATGATGGTGGCAGTGTTCTTCATAATAATCAAAACCTGGAAACAAGCCAGTGCCCATCAGCTGGGGAGTATATGCATACAGTGAAATACTTTTCAGCCAGAAAAAAGATGTATTGATTCATGCTACAACATGGATAAACCTTGAAAACAGTATGCTAACTAAAGGAAGCTAGATGCAAAAGACTGCAAATTGTTTGGTTCCATTTATTTGAAATATCCATAAAGGTAAATCTGTAGAAACAAAAAACAGATGACTTTAGATGAACTGTGAAGGAAAAAAAAAAGAGAGAGATTGTATATGGAAGCAGGGAAGTGTGTGTAAATAGGTACAAAGAATCTTTTTTTGGATGGTGGAAATGTAAAATGGGGTGATGATTGTATAAACCCATGAGTGTATTAAACATCATTGAATTTTTTACTTAAAATGAGCCAGGTTTATGGCTCAATAAAGCTATTTTTTAGAAAAGATGAGGGATGAGGTAAGAAATGAGGATGTGCCTCTCTTGATACGTTCACTTATAACTTCTTTCCAACTATGTGAGGCAAATTGTACACTTGTACAATTGTACAGCATCTTGTGCACTTGGACATAACTTCCTGCTAGTCCTGTGAGGTGACCAGTAGCATCTTGTTTTGCTGTAGAGGATATTGAGGTTCAGCAAGCCTAAGTTCCCTGATCAAGGTTGTACAAGTAGTTAAGTTGCCAAGAATTTAAGGTCATGAAAGACATGTTGTTAAGATGTGATTCACTGGCTGGGATCCCTGGAAGGTCACAGCCAGGAACAACTTTAAATGGTTTCTGGATTCATTATCTCCTAACTCAGGTTAAATTCCGTGTTGAGATTTCACTGGGATCTTTTCTTTGTATCTCTGGGATTTTAAGAATGTGATACACAGTCTGAAAGTGACTGTGAAGGGTAGGGACAAGATTGTGTTTAGCCTTTAACCTCAAGATACAGGATCTCATGAAAATGGGCCATTTTAGCTTCAAAACATTTTTGTGCAGCCTGATGGGAGTTGGGAAGAGTTGAGTCAGTACTAAAACAGGTGATGTCTCAGTTTCTCCCCTCTCTATAATACGTAAAACATTACCTTAAGTTGTAATGAGAGTTAAATTCCAGATATTCTTGGTTAGGACAGAAGAAGGCTTCAAAGTAGATTTTAGAACAAAACTGCCAGAATTTTTGATAAGGACATTAAAAGAGTCTTTTGCAGCATAGTGATAGATTTTATTTAAAAAATGCCTTTCTTTTTACATAAGACTGTTCCAGTGTGTACTAACCTTCTAGATTTGAAATATTTAATTTTGATTGGTCTCATTCTTCTATAACATATCCAGTCTTCTATGATTCAGCAGAAAGAGTGTATTAAAGATTTATAGATGTACTTAGTCTTTTTTGAGTTCTATCTTAAAAAATGTACCACAGAGATTGGTACCACTAGCCATGTGTGGGACCTTAATTAAGTGCATTTCAAATTGAAATGTACTACAAACATGAAATACACAGTATTTTCGAAGACTTATGGAAGAAAGTAACTAATTCATAAATGTCCAATAATGATGTCATGTTGAAATAATATTTTGGATATATTGAACTGATAAGAAAAGATACTATTTTTGATCTTAGAATGCCAAGAAGCATTGTCAGATATACATGTGTATATAGTTAAATAAACTATATTTAAGTTAATTTAACTGATTTCTTTTTTCTGTTTTCAATGGGACTATTGAAACATCCAAAATTAAATATGAATTATATTTCTGTTGGACAAAACTGATCTCAGACATGAAACAATAACAGTGAATGTATTTTACTTTTCAGTAATGATATTTTTAATGTCAACTAGCCATTTGAATCCAAATGTTTGTTCTTCTCCTAAAGCCTTAGTTTTTTCCCCTAAGACCTCTTAAGTAGAAATTTCCTACATTTTTATGCTTTTATAAGATTGATTATATCAATAAATGTTGTCATTTCCATGAAAAAAATGTTTACCGCAATAGGTATTTGGAAGTTGATATGATTAGAGGGTTACTAAAATTTTTTAATACAAAACAAAGGGCATGTAAACATATGCCTTTAGTTATTTTCTTTTTTTAAAGATTTATTTATTTATTTAAGGATACAAGCACGGGATACAGTCAGAGGCGCGGGAGGGTGAGAGAATTCACCAGAGCCAGAGAGGAGAGCAGAGCAGGCAGACTGACAAAGTACACTGCTGAGGGGAGCAGCGGGCAGCAGGAGAGGTCTGCAAGCCATGTGGGACCCTCGCCCAGCGGCTGGGATCGAACCGGCGCTGCAGAAGCTGTGGGCAGCTTCGCAACCCAGTGCTCAACCTCTGCGCCACCGGGGAGACCCTAGTTATTTTCATTGTTATTGACACTTATTTTAAAAAAAATATGTCACTTTGTTTTGCTTGCCTTCGTTTTGTTTAGATTTTTCTATGGAGACTACAGAGGAGGTTTCTGAATGAAAGGAACTTTTGAGAAGCAGAGATGTTTTGCTTATATGTTTCTTCCCCTGAGCACTTGTGCTGCATGGTTCTAGCTTCTGTGATTCTTCTATTTTTTGAACAAGAAATTATCAATGAAAAACTGTGTTCTGCCCCACTGTGGTTATTTTTGTTGTTTTAGACTCTTAAAGTTTCTGGTTTTGATTCTAACATGTTTATTTTTGTGGTTAATTTCCATAGAAACACTAAACTATGTAAGTAAAGAAGGATGAATTTGGGGGCTACTGAGTGCTAGATTAAATTGCATTCTAGAGATGGCTGAATAAAGCTATCATCTTCCAGAAACATTCACAGTCACCTTCTAATTCAAGTCTCCTTTCAGGCACTACAGATACCACCTCTAACAACACTGCAACCGTGATTTCCACAGCGCCTCCTGCACCCTCCGCAGTTGCTTCTCCCTCCCTCAGTCCCTCCCCTTCTGCCTCAGCCTCCACCTCCGAGGCATCTAGTGCCAGTGAGACCAGCACAACACAGACCACCTCCACTCCTCTATCCTCTCCTCTTGGGACCAGCCAGGTGATGGTGACGGCATCGGGGTTGCAGACAGCAGCAGCCGCCGCCCTCCAAGGAGCTGCACAGTTGCCAGCAAATGCCAGTCTTGCTGCCATGGCTGCTGCTGCGGGACTGAACCCAGGCCTGATGGCACCCTCACAGTTTGCGGCTGGGTAAGATGTTTCTCTCATCTCATTCACATCTGAAAAGCAAGTAGGAAGTCATGCCTGGAGTTACTCATGGGTACATTTAATCCCTTTGAAATGGGTTCCTCTATAGTAGCATGCGCCTCTCGATTATAATTGGATTAAGTTTGTGAGTGCCCTGGAAAAGCAGTAATCATGCCTTTATTTCCAGATGAAGACAGGAGCACCAGGCCACTTGGTATCTAAGTGATGAGGTCAGAAAGCAAGCCCAGAATTTTTGCTCTTACCCTTAGTCATTTCTGTTAAATTCTCTTAACTGTCTGCTTTATAACTCTCAAACATAAATAAGATTTATAGCCATAAGATTCCCAATGTTGTGTAACCAAACATAAGAATTACTTTGTCAGTATACTCCCTTCTCTGACATTTTTTCTTTTTGTTTGGGGCGGGGAGGGGGAGAGAAAGATGTACTTCAAAGAAGAGTCAAATGGCAGTGCAAGTTTGATATTGTGTGCAGATTATGACCTTATCTTGCTCTGTAGAAGTGGGTATCAAGGAAACAGTAATTCAGAGGTAGTAGCCAAACCAAAAAGAATATGAGAACAGATACTTCCATATTTATCCCCAGCTAGTTTTTCCTGTCTCTTAGCCCTTTGGATGTGTTGTCAAGCTGACAGCTGTGTCTGCTGGGTAGTAAGTGATGCTCTCTTGAACTTGCAGAGGTGCCTTACTCAGTCTCAATCCAGGGACCCTGGGCGGTGCTCTCAGCCCGGCTCTGATGAGCAACAGTACACTGGCAACTATTCAAGGTCAGTAGAACCTCTCTCTTTACTGAGCTCCTTTTTATTTATTTTTTCGATGAAGGAAGGCTGCTTTTGCTTAAGATAAAGTTGATGGAGAAAAATAGTTGAATTGAAAAAGCTCACCAACTTGAGGACCAAGAAAATGTCAAAGTATTAGTTTGTAAGAATGGAAATAGACTTAGTTTGGTGTATTGTAAGAAGCCAGGGTTGTCATGCTGATATTTCCCTTCTTATGTGGAATAAATTTGGCCAGTCTTCCCCCCAGCTAAGTTTATTCATATAGTCACCCAAAACTCATCTCCAAGCAAATTGATCAAATAAAATTTCCCAACTCTCCTCAGCCCCCCAAGTGGGCCACATGGGAGAAGAAGGCCTTACAATGAATGAACAAAGAGTGCATCATGCAGACTTTCGGAATAACTTCCTTATTAGGTTCTGCCCTTTGTATACCCCATCTTTGTACAGCATCTATTTTCTTGAACTGTAATGATGCTTTTCCAAGCTGCTTGGGCCCCTTCTAGATGCATTCAAGCCAGAGTGAAGAGTTTGCCTTGTTTATTAGTGTCTGGGCTTTGTGCCTGAAGATGCTTGCTGTTATATGATTCAGGGAAACAATTTAAGAGACATCAGTGTATTATTCAAAGAATTTTTTTCTTAAAAATGTTTGTGTTTAAATGGGAGTTCTTCAGGCCAAAAATAAGCTATTGGTGGGCCTCTTTGGTGGTGCAAGGGGTTAAGATGCAACTTATGAAGCTGTCTGCAACCTCTGCAGCCTCTGCAGCACAAGTTCGATCCCCAGCCAGGGAGCAACCCACATGGCACAGCAGACCTCTCCTGACTCGTCCACTGCTCCCCTCAGCAGTGTATTTCAGTCGGTCTGCCTGTTCTGCTCCCTACTCTGTCTCTGGTGGATCCTCTTACCCCCTGCATCTCTAGCCTGTGCCCAGCTCTTGTATGCATAAATAAATAAATCTTTAAAAAACAAAACAAAACCAAAAAAAAACAAAAATAAGCTACTGGTCAGTTTCATTAAGATTAGTGTTTCAAATCACATCAGTGTTTTCTCTCTACCATGCTGCATAGACAATATTAGTTACAGACATGGCCTTAGATGGCCTTAGATGACCACAGTATATTGACTTTCTAATGACTCAGTCATACCTGAAACTGATGGTTAGACCTGTAAAGCTCTAACTTTTTGGAATAAGATTTGTAATAAATCACTTTTCACTTAACATTGTGTTGTCTGAGCTATAGGGGTGTTACAGAGGCAAATAGTCATCTCTCAGGCACAATTGATAGTAGAAATAGGTGTTCTTGGAAGATCTAAACCTGTTCTGTTATCCTAAGCCTGAAACCTGAAAAAGCTTCAGACTGCACCAAGTCTCACTATTCTGCATTCTTTGTATGGCCATGTCCAAAGTCAAGGGCATTCCTTTAGTTCTAGCTTCTTTATATATCATGAAAGAAATTAACCAAATATTTAATGTCATTGGAAAAGCTCTCAAATCTACATGCGGGAGTGTTTATATGGGTGGGAGGATATTAGGAAATTGTCAGATAACAGGATAAGATACTAAATGAGAATGCCTAATTATTTTAAGTAAAATTTTGATAATGCCTTCTATAAAGAAGCAGTAGCATCCCAGAAAAAATTCTCACCCATTATAGCAAGTCCTAATATAAGATAAGCTACCGAGGGCCACCTACACCCACTATGTATCTGATTTCCTCCTGTAATAGACTACTCATTCTCCTTTGTACAAGTAAATCATAGTGGATTGCCTCTGAAGTGGAAAATTAATCACATCATGTGCTTTATTTAGTAATACATAACTTATTTTAGAACTAAAACCTTTTTTGAAATAGTTTTCATCTTGTATATCCTACTATATAGTTTTCAAATTTGTTAGTAATGCCAATTGGCTTGATGAAAGATAATTTTAATACCTAAGCCTGTGTAATCTTTTGAATGGACGAACTTTAAAAATCAGTAATCTTTAGTAAAAACAAAATTATTGGACTTAACAAATCTTGTAGGTAGGTGAAATAAAATTGTAATTTCAAGATAGAATAATGTGAATGATTTATTCGAGTTCTTAACTCTCCCTCTCACCTGTCCTGCTCATGCCCACTAAATTAGATTTTCCAGCCCTTTAGGTGCTTTCAAAATTATAAAAAAAAACTTTAGTTGGCAATATAGCACTGTGATTAAGAACACAAATCAATTAAGGGCCGCACTGAGTTGTAGGAAAACTGTAGACATTTGATGTGATGTGTTGTTTGACTTCTCCAGGATGATGTTAACGTTCTCCTTCCTGCCTGTTCTGGGGTTTTATCTGTAGCTCTTGCTTCTGGTGGCTCTCTTCCAATAACATCACTGGATGCCACTGGGAACCTGGTATTTGCCAATGCAGGAGGGGCCCCCAACATCGTGACTGCACCTCTCTTCCTGAACCCGCAGAATCTCTCTCTGCTCACCAGCAACCCCGTCAGCTTGGTTTCTGCCGCTGCGGCCTCCGCAGGGAACTCTGGACCTGTCGCCAGCCTCCATGCCACCTCCACCTCAGCTGAGTCCATTCAGAACTCTCTCTTCACAGTGGCCTCTGCCAGTGGGGCTGCTACCACCACCACCACCGCCTCCAAGGCACAGTGAGCAGGGCTGCGGGGCTGCCAGCCAGGCTGGGACTGGAAATGTGATTGGCTTCCTCTTGCAGTGTTTCGAGGGCAAGAGAGAGAAGGAGAAACATATACTGCGAAAACAAAGATGGAGACGGGACAACATTTGCCTAATTTTGTAATAAAACACTGTCTTTTCAGGATTGCTTCATGGATTGGAGAACTTTCTAACCAAAAATTTAAAAAAAAAAAAAAAAAACAGAAACAAAAAATCAAAAACAAGCAAACAAACAAAAAAAAAAATAAGTGAAAGGACTACTTATTTCCAGCAGTCATGATGACAAGTTAAGGTGGGTTACCAATTCCAATATAGGAAGGGGATTTCTTGTTCGTCTAAATTTCTTTTCTTAAAAAATCATTTTTATGGGTCTGTTGTACAGGCCATTAAGTCATAACAAGGTGTTTATAATCGTATCAATTGTGTTGGGGGTTCCTTTCTTAACTGGTACAATTTAGGCAGGCCTGTATTACTGTATCTCTATTATTATTGTTGTTGTTATTGTTTTTATATATATATACATATATATATATATAGTTTGGACATGTTTATCTCTTGCTCCTGGATCCTATTTCAGTGAGCTCCCACACTGTGGGGAAGGGAGGGTTTGGGGTAAGGGGGGGACTTAATGTTCTTAACTGCGGGGAATGTTCTTGCTGGTTTCCTTATCCTTGATGACTCTTACAGAGGTGCTAGAAAATTATTTTCTTTTGCCACTTATGCAAGAGGCTTGGTGCAGAAGCTGAAGGCAGTGTGTGCAAACACTCCCACTTCACACACGCCCCTCCCCCCATCAGGTGGTGCCTTTGGAGCACTTTTGTGTAGGAAGGAATTCCTGCTGAACTGTAGCTCTCACTCACCCCAAATCATTGAATGACCCGAGGCCCAGATCCTGTGGCACCGCCATGCCGCTCCACTACTCTCCATGGGAATGGCCGCATGCGTTGCGGGGCAGGATTGGGTTCCGGAGAGCAAAGACTACTGCAGACACCTGACTTGGTGGTTCTCCTGATTCCTTATCTCCTGAAAAATGCTCCTACTGTTGGTGTGTTCGTTTGTTTGTTTCATTTTCTGAAAGTTTTTCATCCAATCTTCCTTTAACTTACTTGGCAAAGAACAAAATGACTTATTGAAACTGGGAAAGGTTTCCCTCCTTTTGTTTTCTAAAGGAACTCTACTAGACTATAACCCTTCGATTATATTTCACCAAAAGAGGTGTGATGAGAAGAGACAGAGGTTACCACCTTTTCCTCTAACCACAGACTTCCTTTTCACCGATGGCTTATGAATCCCTCTCACCCTGAGACCCTGCTTGGCTCTCTGACTAGAGAAGGCCCTGGTTAGCTGGGGTTAGGGGTCTCTCAAACCTTTGAGGACTTTAAGCAGGAACTTTGCACGTACCTAAAGTGTCTTTCTGGTTTGTTAGTGATTGCTCCTGCTAGGTAGGTCTCAAATAATACACAGCTCTCTATTCAAGGTAGGAAGTGATTAGCTTCTATTTCTGGGTGTTTCTAGACTATGTAAATGAGCCCATGAAAAGGAAGAGTTTATGGAAGTAGAGGAAGAGGAATGAGGATAACTTGAAAATGAAACTCCCCCTTTTGTCAATGGACTGCGGTATAGTCTGTACCCCCAAATTTCCCAGAACACTGGATCACCACAAAACAGGCTCATCTGAGCTCCCTTCTTATTGGCATTCAAGGTCCTGTTTGTTGTCCAGGTACTCACTTACCCCAGGACTGTGCTTTTCCCCCTTTCCGAGCTGGGGGTTGAGAGAGCAGGCAGGTTATCTTGTTCTAATTGCTCTGCTTGTGTCTACAGCGGAGCTTGGATGCTATGTATTTGTCTCTTCGCAGTGTTGGGAAAGGCGGTGATACAGACTCAGAGTGTATTTTTGTTTGTGACCATCCAAGTGGAAGACAGATACATTAGTATTAAAAGGCCAGAAATATTTAGTCCTCCTTGTTAATTTTCTTTTGTTCTGTCTTTCTATTTTATTTCATGAAGTATTTAATGACCACCCTAAATTTCCTCTTCTCAATCTTCACCTTCTCTAAAATTCCTCCAAAATCAGTGAACTGCAAGCAGGGAAACTAACAAATGTCCATCCACCTTTTTTATGTGTGGTGTGTTTTTTTATGTTGTTTTTTTTAACTAAGCTTGAACCAAAGTCAATTTTTAGCAAGCTGCTGTACTAATGGACTAGTTTATGACGTGCAGTTCAGACACATTGAGGAGATAGATGCTACTGACAATTTCTTTTTTCATTTGTCTTTATTAATTTTATATAAAAGTTGCTGCTTGTTTTAATCTTTTATGTTAGTACATTGTAATATCCTCTGGGCAGACATTAACTTGATTTTTAACTAGTTTATGTAGTTGGGTGTGTAAATAGTATGGCAATGTCAGTTACTAACTTTTCTCCTCTCCATCCCATTTTTCTCTGATGTAGTTAAATGTAATCTTTTATCCTGACTTAACATTTCTAACTTTAGCTTGTGCAAATGATTTTAGAGTTATCAATAATACTGTAGCATCCATAGTAATGAATCCCTCCCTTGGGAGAGGTGAAAGTTTTAGGAGGAAGGATTCAGGGAGGGAAATGCTGATACCCACCATACTGGATTAGAGGTTATAGCATTAATTTCCCCAAATTGCTACCAAAGGAAGTGTTGAGTCCCAAGGGACTCGGGCCCAGTGGATTAAGAGGAAGGGCCAGGAAAGACTGTTTGCTTGCTTGCTTGCTTGCTTGCTTGCTAGCTATGTGGTTCAGAATATGCCCCCTCTCCCAAATCAGATTCACCAACAGACTTTAATATTAAAAGAGATACTAAGCTTTAAATGTCAGTACAATGGTCTTCTATTCCCTGCCCTCTCTGTATTCTCTAGTCAATTTGGGATAAGGGGATTCTGCCTTTTTGTGTGTGTGGATCACTTTATGAAGATAAACCTTAAACCAGCATAAAAATCTGTGTTTAAAAGAAGAAATAGATACTTAGAGGTAACTTTTAAAACTACTTCCCCCCCCCCTTATTTAAAAACAAGTTGTGAAATGAAAGGTACATTTATACATGTACACATGAAACACTAAAACAACTTGTTGTTGGGTGTTTAGCTTAAAATTGCTCCCTGTCCCTGTCACCATCCCCAGATAGTCTACTGATCATATTGCTTCATCACTCCACCTAGTCATTTTTACTGTATATCATTTTTCTTAATCATCTCAAGAAATGCTTTTTGATTGAGTGAATCTCCTAAGCTAATAAGTAAGGTACTCAGACTTAACTTTTCACCACCTTATGTGGGAGGGTCTAGAAATTTAGGGGGGCCATTTGACCAAAAAGAGACTTTTGTTAGTTTTTGCATTTCTAGGAAGAAGGGCCTGATGGTCATTATAATCCATTGTATTCTTTTTCTTTTTTTCCCCTAATGTTTATGTAAGTTTTATCCATCCCTGAATTTGGTTAACACATATTAAGCCAAAGACTAATTCTAAATACATTTATAGTGATACTATATTTGCCCATTGTGATGGGCCCTCCCTAGGGAGTAGTGAATGTAATTGTTTGAATCCTGCTTATCATAAGCAGTGCAGTTTGGTTATGAACTTTATTTATACCCTGTATACATCTAAAGGACAGAGCAGAAAGACCTAGAAAAGGGCTTCTCTTAGGAACATTATTGTTCTTAATTAAAGAAATAAGTTGAGTGCTGTATTTGTTTAAATGTTTCTGAAGTTATATAGGCAGCTTTGTAGTATTAAAAAAAATTGTTCATATACATTAGCTGATATAACGGACACTTTCTCTTATTTATTAGATTAGAAGGTCAGTACCATCCCCATTCACTCAACTTATGACTCAAGAAATGGAACCAAAGGAATCCAACTTTTGTTATGTGTAGCACCATAATCTATTTGTACTTCATGGAAGCATTATTAGAAATTAATGATTTTTTAAGGGAAAATAGAATTAATTAAAAGATTTTTAGTGAGGTTATCTTGCCAATTTGTTCTACATAATTCATTGCTGGGGGAGAAGCACAATTATACCTCTTTTTGATGTTATTTTGTCCCATTAGCCCTTATTTGGGGGGGGTTGTGGGGGGAGAACGGGCATCTTGTCTATCTTACCCAGAAGCACAGATATTTGCTCAACACAATATTTAAATTCAGCTCAATCTTTAACATTAAATTTTCTATTTAAATTGCTGGGAAAGCTGGACACATTTACAACTATAGGAAATTAATGTAGATTTTTTTAAAGTTATAAATCCTGATAGTAGACATTGCAATTAGTGTATAATAAACACTTGACTTACAGAAGAAACCCTTTGTAGTTCAAAGTTGTTCCTAAACCATTTCATCCTCACAAAACTTGCTTACCAAGAAAACAGTAAAATCACTGAGATAGGAAGAAAAAAGAGAAGTGTCGACAGGGAGAAGCCAGGGGACCCTGGATACCTGGGCTGGTGAGGAGGAGGCAAGAGTATGTGATCCCCACTTCAGACCTCAGACCAACTGTCTATTTTGGCCTTGGACCCTTGAGGGCCCCCCAACCTCAGATACCAGCCTGCAATTTGAGAATCCTCAGTTAAAGAAGAGCCTCAACAATTTATTCTGGGAATTTGATCAATACTTCAAAAGACCACCAGTGCTCATGAAGAAAAAGACTAGGCTTGAAATTTTAAAATTATTCAAATGGGCAAGAATTGATGGATTAATTTGATCATACCATTAGGGGTTCAGTGTATGTGTGTGTGTGAAAACCTTTAAAAAGTGACATTGTTCATATAAGCATGGCCCTAGCCATTTTGAAGTTATTTTCAGTTTTAAAACATTTTGAGGACTCTTTATAAAATGGTAAATCTATTTTAGCATCTACCTTCACTTTTGAGAAGGGGAAAAGTATCCTTTGCTACTCCTTTAAGAAGAATAACTAAGAGTAGCCGTTTGCATAGATGGCACACACAATACAGACATGAACAGGGTAGGAATAGAATAAATGGCTTTTATCATTAAAGGCTGGTACTAATCCTGTTCTGCCTCATTCTTTTCTTAGTCCGGAGAGACTAAATGGGACACCCCTCCAGTGTCCACAAGATATTTGAAGGATTCCATTGGGAGGGTGGGGAATATGTTTTTTCTGTGTTGGCTGGCCAGATGTCCATATTGTTTGTGAACTGTTGCCTTCTTCTAACCATCCTCATTCATGAAGCGCTTCCTTGTTTTGGCTCTTCTACTCTTGGCTTTTGCTAGAAGTAAACTTGAGGGAATCTTATGGTGATTCTGAAATCTGGATCTCCTTTCCTCTCTTCTCTTTGAGTGATGATACCTTAATCTGTGAGGATAATGCTAGAGGGTAATGGCTAGCTTCTGGCACCTTCATAAAATACCTCAGCATAGCTTAGCATTGTTGCAGAACTGGTTTTACTAAAAACCAAATAAATAAATAAATAAAAAGAAAAACCTTTATAAATAGTGGAGATATTTCTAGCTGTAGCATTTAGTTGAACTGATGTTTATTATGATTGATAAACATGATTGATGCTGTATGTATTTGGGATCCTGTTTATAGGTTACAATTTATAGGGTTAGGGAGGGCTGGGGTGGGGGAAGAGAAGTTGATTATGTTAGAAGGAAAACGTTGCTCGTGTGTGTGTTTTTCCTTTTATCTGTCTTGCCAAAGGAAACTTGATTATCCCCATGAGTTGGTTTGGGATTTGTTGGGCTCTCTGTGGTCCGACCTGCAGTGTGTGGTGGCATGCAGGTTACACCTGGGTGGTCTGTAGGTTCAGGGTCCCCTAGGGCATTTTTATCTTTTCCTATGGCTTCCTGTGCCCCCCAGGCCCTGACAGCCTCACCCAGTGATTTATTACCTCTGGATATAGCAAGAGCTTAGGCAAAGGATGGAAGTGTGAATGTTCAAGTGTGTGGTTGAAAAATAGAGGCAGAAGTAGACATGCACCATTTAACTTGGAGAGGAAAGGAGACATGAGCGGCCGATGCATCTTAATCTAGGAAAACTAAAACAGGTTCTTTTTGTTCCCCTCTGTGATGTTACTGATTGTTGTGCACAACATTGTAAAACCTAACTTCCTTTTCTCATACTGAGGCTAATTCTGTCTGGATCAAATGAAAAACGAAGATAAACTAGACCAAGAAATTGAAAGCCAACCCGTTTGCCTCACACCAGTGATCAGGTGTGGCCTTTAGGGACTACTGGCTGGTGAGATCGAGGAGACTGTTGTCCTTGGTGGGGATGTGAATGAGGAATGATGCTGGTTTAGGCAAAAATAAAAGCACTTTCTGCCCAGACTCTGGGACAGTTTCCCAGCTCCCTGAGTTCAAATATAGATGGTATGTCCAGCAAGGTGATTTAAAATAAACGAGCCACCTCACAGAACTTAGGTGGGATTCAGATACCAAAGACATTGCTATGTCACTGTTTATCCTTATATGCAGAGGGAATAGAGCAGAAAGCTCAAATTTAGCAAGGCTTTGCTTTTGTCTCTTTCCTTTTCTTCTCCCTTCTTTCCTTCCCTGCTTTCCTGGGTTTTTAAAAGAATTCTTATTGGTTAGCCTGGCTTTGGAAGAGAGACTTCTTTATTTTCACTCTGCTGGCTCTGTAAACCCAGGTAGGGTTGCTCAGTATGGCAGTGATTTTCTGGGGATTGCTGGGAGATTTGGGGGAGGGCAAAAGATGGGGCTAGAATTCTTTATTTCCCTTGTTTGAGTTCAAGTGGTATTTAGATGCGCGCTCTCTATTCTGTCACTTGTAAAGGATAAGCATTTGCAAGAGCAGGATTACACATGGGAAACCCAAAGACCTTCCTTCACTCTCCTGTGGAGCTATATGGTTCTGAAATAGCCAGGCTCCGAGTGGAGCAGTTCATTGTTTCGCTGTGCTATTGGAACAAGGAAAGCGAGATGGAAAAGAAACTTGTAGCTTTCTTAATATGCCATCAAAAAATGATCAGCTGGCAGAGCTTCTTGAAAGTTTTACTAATAATTGATTGTTCTGACATTATGTAAAAATGGTATTAATGCTGTGTGACTCTCAAAGTGCTAGATAGATTTGTGAGTAGGTAATAGGGATGTTGGAGAGAAGAGCGCTAGAAACAGAGTGCTCCACTTCGAGCATGGAAGTGGAGCTCCTGGGGGGCCTGGGGAGGGAAGGTGCGGGCTATGATTCTGTGTCCCCAAATCTGCCCGCTCTGCACAGGTCTGCGCCACCCACTGGTGAGTCACCTTCTGGCTCAAACCCAGGTCAGTGTCAGAAAGTTCCAGCCCCAAAACTAATTTACTCTAAAAAACGCTGAGGTCTGCTGCAAAGCCCCCTGTGTTTTCTCCGTGTACTTGTTCACCATTGTGTTAAGTTGGCCACCGCCTCACAAAGCAGCTTTACAGCTCTTTCATAACCTGGCAGCAGCATTGAGCTCTCTGACTTTATATCCCCAAGTCTGCAGGCAGACAGCCGGATACAGTGCTGTTTAAGAAATGAGACATCCAAATACTTCCTGAAAATTGGATCTCCCTCGAATGAACAAGGACAGAGCCAAGTAAAGAAAAGACTCTGCTCCCACCTAGCCTTCACAGTGTCTCAAAGTCCGAACAATACAGCAGGAAATGAAATGCACTTTCAGAAGCAAAAACGCTGGTTCTGTTAGGAAAGGCTGTCGTTGTAGGCAGGCGGGGGGCCATGTCTTCGGTTCTGACCCTGCACAGGTCTGCAGAAGGCACAGACTCAGAGCAGAGTCGACCGAGGCCAGCCTGGCTGTGTTTATAACTGCAGACAGTTGGGAAGGAAAGGAAACAGGAGGGCGCCCAAGATCTCACGACCCTCTTCTGACATTGGCTTCTGCAGCATGAACGATGTTTCCCCTGAGATCAGGTGACAGGGGAAGACAGACAGACTTTTCCAGCTTCTTACCTCCACCTGAGTGGGCACGTGTGCATGGCTCAGTGCACAAGAGGTCTCACTGTCCTCGGAAACGCCCTCCTCCTGTGCCAGCAGACTGTAGTTCACTGCCCGCATCTACTCGTGGCAAAGACTAGGCGAGTAAGTGTGGGCTTTCTCTCCACCATGAGTCCAGGAGCTATTGTATACCTCATTTCTAACTCGTGACTGAGTAACTTGCTTTAACTTTCTAAACCCTCCAGAGTTGCCAAGTCTGCCCTCCCGCCTCAAAGTCATTTTGAACTCTGGCCTATAGCATCATGGGACCTGCAGCCGAGGGTGGGATCTCCTAGAGCCTCTGAATGTCGCTGCTTAAAAGCTACTGCAAACTGAGGGCAAATTGCAATCTTCTCTCTCTCTCTCTCTCTCTCTCTCTCTCTCTCTCTCTCTCTCTTCTTTTTTGTTTCCAGGGGTCTTCCAGGGTCTCTTAACACCTGCTTTCCCCACCACCCTGCCTTTAGGGGCTGATCAGTTCTCCCCTTCGCCCCCCCCCACCCGAATATCTGACCCACCAGCTGGCCACACACCACTGGCCCTTGCCTTGTCCCTGGTGGGGTGGAGGCCGTCCCCTCTGAGGCCTCAGGGCTCTGCTGATTTTCAGGACTTTGGGTGGAAGGGAAGACACTAAAGGCTCCTCTAAGCTGACTGCTGCATATACATCTCACTTTTTTTCCTTTGACATGACCAAAAAAAAAAAAATCCAAATATTTAAGTTTTTATTATTATTAATATTATTATTATTTGACAATCTTCTCTCCAATGGGCTCTCTCGAAGCTGCACCCCCAGCCCTTTCACCTTTTCTTTGAATGTAGTTCCCAACCTTCAATTCCCACCCCACACTGTTGACAAAAAGCTTTGCCAGGTCTTAATACTGCTGCTATAAGCCAGGGGAGGGTGGTTTCTTTGTTTTGTTTTGTTTTGTTTTTTAAATTTCCAGCCAAAACCAAAGATTTCTTAATGATTGTATAAACTCAAAACAAACAAAAAAACCAAAGAAAAGGGAAGTCTTCAGCATCAATCCAGTCTGTGGTGTCCTGGCATTTGGAGGAGTGAGGTCATGTGGGGGCCCTGCCCAGCCCAGAAGCAGGGAGTCCCTTTCCATGTTCTGGGGCTTGTAGAGCGCCATGCACCAGTTGCCCCGACTCCTGCCAACTGTGAACATGCCGAGGAACAAATTGGCCTTTCAGATTTTCCAAACAATAGCCCGGACCCATCACCACAATAATCCACCCTCAGCAACCACAGTCACCGCAGGGCTTAGCAGGACCAGTGGGGCCGGTGACTGTGGATGTGCTTGGACTCCACAGAGTGGGGGAAGTTGAAGACCTGGCGCAGGACTGGCTGCTCTGCTGGGTGCTTTAACCTCGGGGACGGGGACGTGAATACACGCCGAGGTGCCCTTCTGAGCCTCTTTTCTCTTTTCCTTTACTGGAACTGCTTGGAAGTGGCTGTGCTGTTTGTGAGAAAACCTGCAGAACGATGATCAAGCTTTTCATTTCTCCTTGTAGTTGGTTCCTTTTCTGCAGCACCACTGTGCAACTATGCATTGTATTTCACAACCTTTTGTGCTAGGTAGATGCCTGTGACTTTTTAACTTGGGGGGTGGGAGGGTTACAAATGAACTTTTTACATGGATCTTTTTAATCTCAGTTGATTGGGGGTGGGGGGGTATTTGGTTCTAGGGTCATACAAGCTCTATCCCAAAGCAAAATCCAAATGTTAATAATATTAGCCTGATGCAGATACCAAAGATAATTTCTTTCCTGCAGAACCTTAGACTTGTGTATTAAGTACGATTACCCAGCACTTGCATTAGTCTAACCTCAGTAATTCCAAAGCTTAGATGTATATTTTGGTATATTTCTGGGATATTAAAAAAAAAAATGTCGTTTAAATTCTTGTTTGTTTCAGTGTAATGCTCTTAAAGTCATAGCATGAAAATAACTGTCCTATTCTTAGTAGTTTGAAATAATAGTATTTTTGTATGTTCTGGGTGTGTCTATGTATGTATTAACAGTTTTCACTGCCTAGGTGTTCATAATAAAGAAGAAAACGAGAAAGTCCTGAGTGTACATAATATTTGGTAATAAACTTCCACCAGGTTCAATTTGGATTGCATATTCGCTGATCACTGTTCCAACTGAGATTTTGTTTTGTTTGAAAGAGACAGCGATAGTGTTTTTCTAAAGATGTGTTCTTTCTCTCTGTCTTTAAATATCTTAACTCCCCCCCCCCCACCTTTTTCTTACTATTTTTTGAACATTGATTCAGGGGTGTTTTTCCACTGTTGTCAAGGGAGGGGACACAAGGGGGAACTGGCCCCTTGGCCTCCCAAAACTTTTTGTTTTATGTACTTAACTTTAAAATGTGAGTTTGAGTTCTCTTTTGTGGAAACTTAAGATGTGGTGTAAATGATTCTTTCCAAGATTGTCCAGCAGCTTTAATGAGGCAGTGACAATTCCTGAGTAGTTTGTTGGGAGTCCTTTTACATTTCTCCTTAGATATTTGGCGATCTGGGTGGCTATTGTGTAGCCTTACTGCCCCAGAGCGCCCGGCTAGCCATTTCCCCTCTGATAGGACTATTTTATAAGAATCAGCTGATCACTTGGAGTTTGGGGACCTTGTTACCTGGGCCCCTGGGAAGGAAACACATTTTCTCGGTTTTGAAAACCTGAAACACAAGCAACCTGACATTTGTGGGAATTAGCTGATGCCTCCCGAGGCCAGAGGAGGTGGTGGGGAACGTGAGCGGTGCTGTCTCTTTAAAAGTGCCCTTTATATGATTTCCCCCTCCTGGGGCCGCCTGCAGAGGCTGCAGGCTTGGGAGAGATTGTGTAGGCGACAGTGAATCAGAATGAAATGGTAGATTTTGTGTAGATGCATTTGTCTGCTGTAATTTTTTATATATATTAAACTTACTGTAACTGTACAGTTCATTTCTGTTGTAAAACATCATTAAACCATTTTTCAAGTGTTTTCACATTGTTTGCGCTTCTTTGAAGTTGTGTTGGCATTCTGGATGCTCGCAGTTACATTCCCACTCAGACTGCGCACGCAAGCCTCCCAGCTGACTTCTCCCAGTGGGTGTTCTCAGAGGCCCCAAAATCATGTCATCACATTGGTTCCTCGCCCAGTCCTCCTGAGTGGGTCCCCCTGTGCACCAGGTGCCACTGTGGCCACCACATCGCTCCCTCCCCACCCCAGGCCCTCGTGGTTCAGTGGGACCCTGATTCCAGCAGCAGAAATCTCCAGACCTGAGGTCTCTGTGTGATCATAGGCACAGGTCCTGATTGATCCTGCAAGAGAGCACTTCAAAGCTCCTGTCTCACTGTATGTGACTGCAGAACTGGCATTGAACTCAACTTTGTCACATTTATTGTTGAAACTGAAGTGACCCGCTGGCATTTCCTGCCACCTGAGCATTCTCTGAAGGAAGCTAATCCTTAACTTGGCATCTGGGCTCCCATCTGAGGGACAGAGCTTAGCTTCCTTCACTACTCAACACTTTGTGTCTTCAACAAATTAGTTAATTGCATAAAAAAAAAAAATATGACTCAAAATGAATTTGCCACAGAGATAACTTCAGCTTGTTGAAGAGGTTGGGAGGTGTGTAACCAGTGAGCAGAGGGCACTCAAGTGTGTCCTCCTGGGATTGGGAGGTGGAGAGAGCTGTTGTCTCGGGACCTGGTGGCCATCTTGCCAAGGGCCCCAAATGGAAAGGGAAATATTGTATGGGTCCTCATTTCCCCTACTTCTGCCTCAAAGAGCTTTTTCTTTTCATTCCACCCCTCCTTATATGTATAGCTTGCATTTAAATTTATGAGGTTATTAATACAGTACAAGTTTGTAACAGAAATCCTGCTTGGAAGAGTGGTCAACTGTCCAGCATGAGGAAGACTTTAGAAAGCAAAATCTATTTGTCACATCCTAAGGAATGAAGATAAAGTGCCGATGAGATCCTATCACCCCGCCAACCTTTATAAAAGGTTGCTCTATTCTGAGCCACGTCCAGTCACATCCACCACTCTGACTTCCCTATAAGAGGATGTGACTAATACCTGCTTTTATTGCTGGGTTTGAAGGCAGAGGACATCTGTAGTTAGAATTTAGTCACCAGTTCACAGAAATGTCCACCCCGGCTACCAAAATGCATCATGAGTTACAGACAGAACAAGGCTACTGTTGAAGGGCCAAGCAGATGACCCTGCCTAGGCCCCTCCGAGCTGTCCCCCTAGTTTGCATTGCTTAGGGGCCCTGTTTTTACCTGTCAAATCTGGGTTCAACCAAATGTTTGTAAACCAGGAGCCTTGAAAAAATACTGTTCAAAAAAAGCCATACCCTCCCTACCTCTAGTTCATGACATAAAAGTAATGCAATTTTTTTAAAATATTGAAAGCTTCCATCTTCACACGTACACACACACACACACACACACACACACATGCATATTTTGGTTTCTCTTTGCAAATAAGTGACCTACTTCCTTGATATCTAAGACACCGACCTTCATATTTTAACACTTATGAAATAGGATGTTTATGTAAAGTGTGCCGTTTCTACTTAAAGTAAGTGGATGGCACGTTGTATTATATGAACTGTAACTTCTTGGGACTGAGGGAATCCAGTTACACTGTGGAGAGGGAGCTTCCAGACTTCAGGAAGGGGGAGCCCCCGTAGTACCCAGCATGGCGGCATTGTCTGGGGTGGCCACCCTCACTGGGGATCTGAACATGTCCACTCATTTCTCTCCCAGCTGCTTTGTCTCTGTGGTTCTCTTGCATGTTGTCTGGTAAGTCTTCATGCCCTGTCCAGTCAGCCTGACACCCACCACTGACTTCCACTTTGCTCTTGCCTCTTAAATCATATGCTTGACAGAAATGGGTCAAGCTCTCCTCAGCCAACAGCCTTGGAAGTAAGTCTGAGGCCTACTTACTCACTTTTACAATAGATGAATCCAATGTTGGTTTAAAAAACCCCAGCAAGTAGAAGATAAAGGAAAAGCAGCTCAAAGGGACTGTCCATTGTCTTAATGAACTTGGGCCAGTAGAATCCTTTGCCTCATGACCAGGTGGCATCATTGGAGGTCACTATCTTTCAATATCCTGTTCTCAGGCCATTCCTCCTGTGAACCCAGTACCTCTCTGGGTTCTGCCTGCACCCCTAATTATAGCTACTCACATCCACCTCGCTGCTGCCACCAGCCTGTCCTCTGTGTCTCAGGACAGCAGTGACACCAGATTCTTTTTTATGATGTGGTTGAAATCTGATGAAATTTTACATCCCTGACTCTGTGATGATGCTTTTCTCTCTATCCACCCTGGATAGCTAGGAAGTGCTGGACCAAGAATAGGTGGGTGCTAGGCAGGTGTTTGGTGAGTGGACTTGAATTCCCCTAGAAGGCCAGGTTACAAATTAAATGCCCTGGTTGCTACAATTTCACCCTACAGAGATGTGTTTGGGAATCCCAGATGCTCAGGGTCTTTTTTTTTTTTTTTTTAAGATTTTACTTCATTTATGCAAGAACTGGGGTACAGGCCAGAGGCACGGGAGGGTGAGAGGATTCACCAGAGACAGAGTGGGGAGCAGAACAGGCAGACAGACAGACTGAAGACACTGCTGAGGGGAGCAATGGGCGAGACAAGAAAGGTCTGCTCGCCATGTGGGTTTCTCTCTGGCTGACGGAATCGAACCCGCGCTGCAGAGGCTGCGGACAGCTTCACCGCGTGGCGCTCAACTTGCTGCACCACCGGGGAGGCCCACTCAGGGGCTTTTAATGGCCATGGCCTTGGACTTTGTTTCTGTTTCCAAGTCTCAACCCACTATGGACCAGAGGTTGGATGAGTTGGGGCCACATGTAGAACCAGCACAGGTGGAGGAAAGACAGGGGGAGAGAGCGACCATTTGTGAGGGAAATGGACTGAAAAGTCCTCTGTCCTCCATCCCTCCCAGGATCTATGGACTGAGCTGTGCTGTGGCATCAGCTGCCCTTTTGATTCCCAGCCCCCTGAGCCCACAGTGTTCTGATAAGGAGGCTCCTTTCCAGCAGCCCCTACACCCTGCCCTGCACCCCAACTGCTCCTTTCCCATCAGCCTCTCTTGTTCCCACAAAAGCCTGACCCATTCTGCAGACTATACGGCACCTGGTGCGACTCTCAGGGTCCCTCTGCACTGCCACCAACCAGGATGCCACCCTCTTCCTTCTCTGATGGAAGTGACGCTGCCCCTGGTGGCATCCTGAGTCTGTGGCTGCACCTCTCTGGGCAGCAGCTGACTTCCTGCTGACTAGATCTCCAATGCAGTCTCAGCTCTGGAAATAAAGCTTAGAGGAAAGCTCATTTTCACTAAAGCATTTATTATGCAAAAGAGTAAGGAGTAGCAACCAGTATAAATTAAACCCAAGCAGAGAGGGGTGCTCTGTCCATGGCCACGCGAATTCTCATCACACAGCAACGTTCAAGTGGGTGAACCGAGGTGTCCCCATGCGCCCATAGGGTGTTGGTCTTCCTTCCAGCCTTACAGTGCGGGGGGTCATCCAAGGTGAGGTGAACCAGTGCCCCCCTTGTGGTCCCCCCATGCTTTGTCGTGTCTGGGCTGACAATCTGTTCTTTACCGCAGCTTGTTCACCTCTCACAGCCCCTGAGCTCTTGTGAGCTCCACCAGGACATGGACGCTCACTCCTCGCTGGGTGCCCCTGGAACCTGGCACACCCATTCTGTAACGGAATGTCTGCCTGAGGGGGCCCTTCCCGTCTCTCCAGGGCTCTAGCTGAGCCTCCGTGATGGCTCCCTGCTCACACCTCATCCCCGGCTGGCTGGTGTCCACTTGTCAAGGCGCTCATGCCATCCTGCCTCCGCCCAACCCACTCACTGGGCTCAACAGCCTCGTCACCCCAATCACAAGTTATATTGAAATGAGGAGGAAGGTTAACAATAGAAGCCAAATTTACAGCAGGCACGAAGCCACTCATATACTGACAGAACAATGCAGCCTATTAGGACATGTGCTGACATTGGGGGTTGCTCAGGGGAATATACAGGTCACAGACTCAACACCTGGCTGCGGCAGGGTGTGTCTGTCTCCCAGGTGGGAACCGGGAGCTGCCCAGACAGTGCTACCCACAGAGCATGCTGCACCCGCCTCTCAGGCTCCCGGGGCAGGGCTTGAGGGGACAAGGCTGTAACCCTGGGGTCACACTCTCAGAGCGTCCAGGGACAAGGAGTCTGTGTGACAGTCTGGAATTGACGTGACCACATGTTACAACTTTCATAAAGAGGTGTTCTTGGGCGGTGGAGAAGAGACAAGTGAGCTGGGCTATAAATGCTTTATCCGGTGTCTTTAACAGTCTGGGCGTCTGTGGTTCTGGTCTGTGAGTGGTAGAATCTGTGCCCTTAGCGAGGGGGCAGGGCTTGCATGTGGAGGGCATCATAGGTGTCCTTGGTGGCTGTGCTGAGCCCCTGTCAGAAAATCAGAAAAAGAAGCAGGTCAGAAGCCCTGGTCGGCACTCAGAGGCCTAAAGGTATCTTCCACAGCACAGCCCCTAACCAGCCTCCAGAACCCCTGGAACAGCCCCCTCATATAACAAGTGGGGAGCTTCACCCTGAGGATCTGTGCCCTGCTGGGAGTGGCCTTGCAGCCATTCCTTTCCTGTTAACATCTCATCTCCCCTCTGGCCAGTTTCCAAGTGCTGCAGTGGTTGGGACCAGCCAGCTCCTGTCAGGCCAAAGAGGAAGGACAGTCCCCCAAGCAGAAGACTGAACTGGAATGAGGGAAGAGCCCAGGCTTCCCCAGACTACCTGCTGTCACTGGCAGCTGGAAAGAGGGGCTCCTTGACCTCAGCAAACCCTCCCAAGCCTCCTCCCAGGCCAGGCAAATACAGTTGTGCTATTTGTCTGAGGCCAGGTAGACAGGCAGGCCCAATGTCACCGGACACTTCTCTGGGGGTCAGGCCCCCAGAGTAAATTCTGGTGGCTCTCTGATGTCACCCTGAACACACACCAGCAGAGCTTGCCACTCTGAAGTCAGTCCAGTTAGCTAATGGAAACCCAGGGGACTGTATTTTAGAATATAATTATTTACACTGATTTGCATAAACCAGGACCCTGATAACATCATGTTTTCTTTTTAAAGTTGTTCTTTACCTTGATGTTTTTTCCTTCAGTCTACCCACCCTCCCATGGTAGCTCTAAGGACACAGGGCAGGGCAAGGCTTCTGCAGTGACTTGTGTGACCAGTGCCCCTGCTCCAGGGCTGCCAGGCAGAGGAGGCCCGGGCTTGCCCTGCCCAGCTGTTGGCAACAATTGGTACCTCAAAGAAGCAAATAGTGGGTGCCTGGACCTCAGCCCTGGTTTGAGGGTACCACCTTGGGAAGAGGTAGACCTGAGGCACCGCCATCGGCTCTCACCTGGTAAAGGGCATCGTTTCCTTTGCCTCTGCGCCGCTGGTTCTGTGAGAGTAAAACCAGAAAAGGGTGAGCAATCAGTTAGTAGAGGCCTTCCTGCTCAAGGGCCCCATGCCAGGGCCTCCAGAGAATCAGAGGCTACTGTTGCCCAGCAGCACCCTTGCCTCTCCAGGAGAAAAGGGCCCTCAGGCCACACTCGGAGCCTCACCTGAGGACAGGCCTCACCTGAGGAGGCCCAGGCTTGCTCAGGCACACTCAGGTCCTCATAGGATCTAGGTCACAGGCAGCTGACCACCTGGTCCACTGCTTGGAATAAATGGGCCTCCCACAGTCCTGGAAATGCTGACTCATCACCAACACTCCCTGGAAATGGCAGCCAGGTAGTAGCTCACAGTTCTGGCTGAGTCCTTTCAAATTCTGGCTCCCCAAGTACCAGCTGAGTTGGCTGCAAAAGTTAATTAACCTGGGACTCAAAGGCCCACGATTCTCTCTGGGTTATTGTGGGAATTCAGTGAGACCATCTACCTAGCCAGGCACAGACCAGGTGGCTTCCTGGACATACAACCTGAGCAATCCCACAGGGCCCGGCTTAGAGGGTCCAGCACTCCCCTCCCCCATTTGGAAATTTTTATTTCTTTATGAGCAAGTCCTGAGTGCCGAAGACACATTAGTGCACTTCAAATACTTGAATCAACCCCTCCTTCAAATCTTGTGTCCAGCAGTGAGAGCCAGATTTTCCTTTGTCTCTGCGCCGTCACGGGGGCTTGTATGGGTGGCGTGAGAAATGGATGGCAATGGAGACCTTCAGCAGGTGTGTCAAGAAGACCATGAGAATGCCCTTATAGTGTCCCCCTACCCCCCAATCCTTGGGAATGAGGAAAGATCAACACTCACATCTCCCTTCCTCCCAATCTCGCTGTAAGCTTCCGCCATCTTGTCTTTCTGCAGGGCCTGGAGAAGAGGGTGGGAGATGCTGGATTACTAACTAATAAAAGAACACTGACTCCCAGAATTGAGGTTCCAGGCCTTATTTGTACAGACATCTCTGCCCCAACCCTGCCCTCTTCCTGCTCAGCCCTCTGGAATCTCCTCTGAGCTGCCAGCCATTTGCACTGAGTTGAGAAGCTCAACAAGATAAGAGGGGGCATTCTGCCAAAGGACACAGGTGTTGGACCAGACAAGGGCTCAGGTGGAACCCCCAGGATCATTTATCTGAGTGAAATGTCCCTTTTACACAGCCACCGCCACGGACCGTGAGCCAAGCAACCACGGGAGGGAAGGAGCAACTGCCCTTCATGGCAGACCTGGCCAACAAACTGGAAGCACAACCAGATCCCCATCCAGGGTGGTGAGGATGTCCTTTCAACAGTAAAGGAAAACATCCCCAGGACAGAAGCCCCCCAGAGGGGCTGCTCAGTCTGACCTCACTATACCTCCCCCCAGCTTGATGCAGGAGCTTCAGCATCAGGCTCAGGGGCCGAGGGAGCGAAGACATGTGAAGGGTCTTTCCCAGCAGCCGCCCCGCAGGCAGCAAGCAGGGGAGGCATTATCTGACCCAGGAAAGTGAAGGTCAAGGCAGGGTCAGCCAGGGGAGTATGGCTCCAATCCCCTCCTCCATTCCGAGTCCCTTCCCAGCCCTTCTTTCCAAACTTTTATGGGCAAATGTGCCACCTCCTCTACTCACGTTGTACACAGCTTCCTGGGGATTCTTTCTTCTCTGCTAGAAAAGATAAGGGCAGCACGTCATGGGGAGACTCAGGAATCTAGGCCAGCAGAGTTTTCATCCCACACCCCCATCCTTTGTATGCTCCACCATCAGCATCTCCCTTTCCTGGGTGCCTGAGTCCCATCTCTCCCTCTGGGGACTCCCAGCCCCCCCAGAGCCCTCAATGCACGCTTGTCCATCCCCTGCTCCCTGGTGTACCTCCCGAGGGCCAGCGTGGTGCAGCCTTGCCCGGGGCAGGGGAGTGTGCTGGGGGCTGGCCCCTCTGTCCCCTTGCAGATGTATTTCCACACTGTCACAGGCTTACAAGTGGAATTTGGGGCTGAAGATGAAAGGTACGGGGAGACTTGTCTGGAGAAGGGCCAGACAGGGGGGAAGGAGTCTCACCATACAGAGACAGGCCCTTTGTGCCCCAGCCCCCTTGTCCACAGCGGGGGAGAAGAGCTGAGGTGGGGGTGGGGGTTAAAGAAGCGGAGGGCCTCTCTTGCTTGCTCCTTCACTCCGACAATAACCTTCTAGCTCAGAGCTCAGAGGGCCTGCAGGGGACTGAATGGACAGTTGTGACCAGAGACATCAAGGCCACTGGGCAGCCCAGGCCTTTACACTGAGACCTGCTCTTAAGAGGACACTTCCTGGGCTTCATCCAGCTGTTCCTCTCCCCACAGGCAAGGTGGTCTTCCCAGAGCTTCCCTATGCTTATAGGGGTACCTGGGCCCCAAGTCTTGCCCTGTGGCTTATACTCTTGCTCTGCAGACCTCTTGCCCAGGTCGTTCCTCCTGGGGGTAGACAATGCCACTGTGTGTACCCGCCAGCGTGGCTGAGGAGTAGTTTGAGGGGAGCAAGAAGGTGCTGGGACTTGAGGGCTAGGGCGCCTACTGGAGCGTGGGCGCCTCCGGCTGTCTCTTGCCCCAGGCCCCGCACTTACTAGGGTGGAGTGTGGTGGCATTCAGGAGCCCCTCTTCAATGCCTGCTCCTCCCAGCTGCCCCCCGCCCCAAACACGGAGGGGAGCTTACACGGAGCCCCGGAGGGGACCACCCTACCTGTTTCCCTCCCATCTCAGGGTCCCGGCCGCGCCTCTTATCCAGAACGTCGTACTCCTCTCTTCGTCCCAGATTGAGCTCCTAAACAGACAGGAAAACCTCAGAGGAGGGGCAGGGGCAGGCGGGGGCAGCCAGGCTGACTCACAGAGGCTCAAAAAGAAAGGGGCAGGGGCCAGGTGTGGTGCAGTAAGGGGCTCCTCAGAAGCCATCGTGTCAGAGAACAGGCATTATTACCCTGACGGGACGGGTTCCCCCAAGGGCACCAGTGCTTTCTCCCTGCTGGTCAGCCACGTGGGGTGAGAAGTAATACCCGCCCCCCCTCAGAAAGTAAAGAAATAGCAGTGTGCAGAGCTTACCCAGCTCCACTCAAGTCCCACTGTAGAGGGAAAATGAATCGCTGTCCTGCCCCCATGAAAATTCTATTACCTTCCTGCTCCCCCCTACCCTGATCCCCAGGCCTGTGCTACCTCACAGGGCTTCAAGCTCACTCATGCAGTCATGTGGGTCACTGATGGAAAACATGGGAGAAGGGGACCTAGCAGTCTGCACCATCCAGCTTAGGGGTGCAGTGACTCTATGACGTTTGCACGACCAGGAAGTGGCTTAACGAAATTCTCAGAATCTTCACCCCACATTAAGAGACTCCAGAGCACTGTGGTGCTTTCCAGCTATCAAATCCTTACAGCTGTCAACCTTGCGGCACACCCAGGAGGCAGGTACAGTTACTATCCCTTGATTGATGGTTAAAAATCTGAGCCCTGGGCGGGGGGAGGCTTCAGACCTACACCCAGTGCCCCCCGGGAGGCCCTTCTCTTGTGCCAGGCCGAGGACCACACCTCCCTCCACGGGGCTGACTTACGTTGTAGACCAGGTTCTGGCCTTGTGGATACACGGGGGCTTCTGCACTTCGGCTGAACTGAAAAAGAGTGCATCACATTACTGCCCGGCTCTTGAAACCATTCATCTCCCCTCCCTGCAGGGCTGGTGGCTCTGCAGCCTCTTTTCTGTGCTCAACCAGACATCCCTGTGCCCCTCCCCGGCCCGCCCAATGTGTGGCTTGCAGAGCTTAATCTCAGCTTTGCCGGTGGCCACCAAGCTTGAGACTTTCCAAGTTCAAGGCCTCTCCAAACAGCCACAGAGTGAGGGCATCCACACCCTCCTTCCCAGGACCCGGTGGCACTCACCTTGGCTCTCAGGAAAAGGGCAGTGATGACCACACCATAGATGAAGAGGAACCCATCCAGCAGGTAGCAGAGTCTGGGGTCCAGCATGCCAAAGGCCTGTGCCTCTGTGCCAGGAGAGAAGATGGTCAGCCAGCCCCAGGTAAGAGGACACATCCTTACCACCCCAGCGTGGCCCGACTGGTCAAGAAAATCGTGACAGGGCCTCCCTGGTGGCGCAGCAGTTGAGCGCTGGGCTGTGAAGCTGCCCGCAGCCTCTGCAGCGCTGGTTTGATCCCCGGCCACCTGCAAGGGTCCCACACGGCGTGGCAGACCTCTCCTGCTGCCCACTGCTCCCCTCAGCAACGTATTTCATCAGTCTGCCTGTTCTGCTCCCCGCTCTGGCTCTGATGAATTCTCTCACCCTCCTGTGCTTCTGACGGTACCCAGTGCTTGTATAAATAAATAAATAAATCTTAAAAAAGAAAAGAAAATCGTGACAGGAGACTGGATCCAATCCCCATGCCCATCTGACCAACTCCTCTGCCCCAGAGCCTGAGAAAACCTAGCTTGCCCCAACAGTGGAAGTAGAGCCTGGAGGGGCCACAGAGCCTGGGAGGATAGGAGGGAGACAAAAAGTAGGGGGGATGGTGACGTTCAGTGTGCATAGGACTTCAGTCTTGGGGGCATGGGGTTCGGGGGTGCATGAGCCCTGTATGCTCCCGTACCTTGGGAGTTTCTGTAAGATGCCCATATCCAGATGAATGGCACCACCTGAATTAGGGCACTTGGTTCCACAGGGAGGCACCAGGTCTGGTGGGGGAATGAGATCCTTCCGATCTCTAACACAATTAGGACAGTGAGGCTTTGAGTTAACTTCCCCCCTGACTCCTGTGTCCTCCGAAGCCAGGCCCTGAACTGGATCTCCCCTGTGGGGTCTGGGGCTAGACCCTGGAGAGGTCTCATGAAAAACAGACTTATGATCTCCCTCTCCCTGCCCCACCTCTCCCTGCCCACCAGTCCTAGCCCCACAACTCAGCCCTGGCCCACTGGCCAGTCCCAGGACATACCTGTTTCTTCCATTTGCCTCCCTGCCTTTGCATGCTCTATTCCTACTACATATTCCCTGCTGCCATCTGATAAAATCTGATACATTCTACAAAATGCAGCTTAAATTGCCTCTCTGTTAAGCCTATCTCCCGCCCCAAATTGCCAAGGAACTTCTAACCACTCACTGCCATAGTAACCTTTGTCAAACTATAATTAGTGTACATGTCGTTGGCGCTGGCATTGAAGTACAATGGGGTTGGGGAGGTAGGTACAAAAGGTATTCAGGTTAAATAAAATAAGCCATTTGTATTTGAAAGTTCACTGCACAGTGGGTGAGGAGACACGCATGTTCGTCTGTTCTGTACTTCTACCAGGTATATGTCAGCAGCTCAGCCTGTAAAGCTGGGCATAGCATTTCTCACGCCCAGTGGTGTGCAAGGACAGCGGTGCCAGGCTGGACCATCCACCGCAGGCTCGTCCCAACCCGGGGCGCCACCTGCTGGCTGCTGCAGCCTTTTCTTGGGCAAAGGACCAGATCAGGAGCATTGACCCGCTTGTGTGACTTGCAGCAGGCTGTTAACCCTGTTTCAGCTGCCTCTTCTGTTAAGCAGAGTGTAAAGTGTAAACAGTACATTTCTTTGGTGTTTCCTTTGTGTCAGACACTGCTTTGATGTCATTCTTTGTCAGATCCTCCCAGCAGTACCAGATGGAAACTGAGGCACAGAGATCTTCAGGTGTACCCAGGAGCACACAGGGCAAGAGAGAGTCTCCCAATACTGCCCTAAGCAGTGTCTGTCTGTGGTTCTTCCTCCCCCTGCCTGCCCATCCTGATGCAGACGTTTGCCCCATGACCCGTGGGGACTGGTGATTCAGGGCTGCCCCAGCGTCTCCACTGCCCCCCATGAATCCCTCTGACTTCAAACATTTGATTACCACCTGGATTCCCTCTGCGTCCTCGGCAGCTGGTCTCTGTAAACTTCCCATAGTCCCATCCCCCGCCTCAACTGTTGGCCCAGTCACTCAAATTGAAGGCCAGACTCCCCGTCCAGCCCTGCCAGGGCCCTGACTGACCAGCCCTGGCCCAGCTCCCGACACGCCCTCCCTTCACTCCTGCGGCTGACTTCATGTGGGCCAGTTCCAATGGCAGACCATGCCTGCCATTGCTAGCGTGGCCCCTCCATTCAGCAGCCACTGAAACCCACTCAGGTCCTGCCACCTGAGCCCCTGGTGAAAATTAGGGTGCTGCTCCCACAGAGCCTGCCTCCCCCAAAACACTGCAGAAACAACCTGTCGGGGGATAAAAGTCTAGGCTCTAAGTGCTGGCGACCAATGCATCTTCTGCATCTCCGTGTCTGCCACCCCCACATCAGAGCTCAAGGCTCCAGCAGACAGTCATTAGAGGTCAGGGAATTTTCAGGGAAGACGCCTGGCTCTGCCCTCAGCTGGCTGAGCCCTAGCCCTAGGGTAGTCCCCAAAGCCGCAGCCGACTGAAATAGGACTCTAATGGCCTTTGGGAGACCAACCAGCCCCCAGCAGAGGTCACCAAAGCTGGGGAGAGTTTTTCATTTAGTCCTGGAGGGAAGGTGTCAGCAGCGATTTATAGGGGTGGTTGAGATTCAGAAAAAGGGCTGGGAGAAATCGCTCAGTTGCCTGCCACATAAAATGAGAACAGAAAAACTACTGGACAGTAAATTTAGAACAAATAAGAAGAAATATTTCTTTGTGTTGTGCAGAGCCAGTGCAGTGGGGGCGGGGGGCTGGGTGCCTCCCCAGAGATAAGTAATCGGAACAGGTTTTCTTTCTTTCTTTGTAAAGAGCAGCACGATTTTATGGCCCGTGACACTGTGCTGTGCCGGTTTGGCTGAGGAGGGGAACTAGACTGCACGCACTTCCCAAGGTGAGGACCCCACAAAGGAACTCGGGACCCAGGAAAATTACATACTGGGTTAACTAGTCATTGGACATCAGCTCGATGCCAGAGGATGCAGGTATCAGGCAGGTTCTAGCCTTTTCCCTACCACTAAGTAGTTGTGGGATCTTGGGCAAGTCAAGTCACCTCACTTTCCTGGGCCTCAGTTTCTCCATTTGTAAACTGGAGGGTGATCATATGTACCTTAAGGGGTATGGTGAGAATTAAATGAGATGATGGGTGCCTCCCCGGTGGCACAGCGGTTGAGCGCTGGGTTGCGAAGCTGCCCGCAGCCTCTGCAGCGCCGGTTCGATTCCTGGCTGCTCCTTGGCCACTGGAGGAGGGTCCCACATGGCGCGCAAACCTCTCCTGCTGCCCGCTGCTCCCCTCAGCAGTGTACTTCGGTCCTTCTGCCTGCTCTGCTCCCCGCTCTGGCTCTGGTGAATTCTCTCACCCTCCCGCGCTTCTGACTGTACCCAGTGCATGTATAAACAAACAAACAAACAAATAAATAAAACATGCCTCTATAAAAAAAAAATTTGCAAAAAAAAAAAATAAAAAATAAATGAGATGATGGGTGTTTTTGTAAATTTCCTCTAGAAGGACAGTGATGTCTAACATTTGGGTAGGGTCTTCTGCCCTCTTGGGGCTTAGGGTTTAGCTCAAGAGCCCACACACATGGCAGGGGCCGGGGGTGGCTTCTCTGAAAAAGCAGCTTTCCGGAATGCCAACTCAAAGACAAGAACCACAGCCACTCCCTTCTGGGTCTCAGCTTCTTCCCCACCGCCTTCCCCAAGTAGAGACTGTTCTGCTTCTCCCCTGAGCTGCTTTTGCACCTATTTCTATTTCTACCACGTTCGGTCCCAAAGGGAACTCCCAGGCCCTTGCTAGCAAACTGGCAAAGCTGATTTATCTCATGCTTTCCTCTCCTCTGCCCCAGATCCAGGGCACCTGAGAGAACTCTGGCATTTGAAAGGGAACCCAGGGACCTTGAGGGTCTCACCAGGCTCTCCATCCCTTCTCCATCGCAGTTGGACCTGAACACAGGCCAGAGCTGAGAGCATGCTGCTGCAGCCACACCTCCCACAAGTATAAAGTTCACCTTCAAACAGAGAGGATGAACAAAATTATAGCCCCAATCCTTCTCACAGACTCGCTGTTGTGTACTGCGTGTCACAGGACTTCTCTGAGCCTCAGTTCTCCCATCTGTGAAATGGGGATTGTATTACCTCTTTCGTGAGTTGGCAGCGAGGATTAAATAATTCTTTTGAGGGGCAGGACCTGGCAAATAATAAGTGCTGCAGGATATCAGCGATCGTCATCACTCTGATCTTTGCCCTCAAATTACCATCCGTACATTTATTTGAGGGGGAAGAGTCAAATGTTATCAGTAACTTTTAAACTGGGTAGGACTAAGAGCCACCGAGCTCCTGACTTCGGCCTGTTCGCAGCTGCACAGATAACCGGCTCCTGCATCTGTGGCGTCATCTGGAACCCACGAGCATTTGATGAGGGGGACACATTCGGAGCAGTCACGTGATTTCCCACTCAGAAGCCACTGCCTTTGTGTCAGAACAAAGGTGCTGAGGAAAAACAAAGGCAGACCTAGCGATGGCCTCCTGGCATAGGCCGGGACACGGTGGTGGCCTGGAGAGACGGGCTCTTGCCCTATTTACAAAGCAGCAAACCCTGAGGGTGGCTCTGACCCCGTGAGCCTTTATCCATCCCATCCAGGTCTCCACAATCCCTTCTCCGGGCCCTGTACGAGACAGAGTTGGTGAACCGGCAAAGTAAGGGGAAATTGCCTCAATTCCCTGAGGGTACCCCAACTTTCCTAGGTCGAACAGGTGATCCACTCCAGCCTGACCAGATTCTGCAACTAGACGGACACACAGCAAATATGGATGTACAATGGGGGAAGGCAGAACACATGTCTAGGTGTGGCTGAGATGCAGGGTTCTTGCAGGCACCCTAACATGAGCAGACCCCTCAAACCACCATGGCCAGACTGAGAGTGTGTGTTTTTGTTTTAGGGCATTCAGGTTACTCCAGGACCAAGCAAAGTTCTGATGTCGCCCACGGGAAAGCTGGTCCTGCATGCCTGGGTACTTCCAGCAGCGGATCTCGGATTTGGACACTGGGGAGTGAGAAGGGAGCACGGTTGCAGCC